TAGCAATTAAGAGAATTTTGGCTTTTGCTTTGAAAAGATCAAATAAATGTCTCCCTTGAATAAAATGCAACAGTTCTTGGAATAAGACTAAATGGCAAATATTGTTTTAAGACTAGAATAAGATTAGAATAAACACTTGATTTAAGTATTTATTGCCTCGTACTTTATCATTGTTTGCAGTATTCATAATTAAAGCTATATGCATTAAAGGACTTTTTCAGTGGTAGGCAAAACCGTAGCACCGGGAGGAAACCTACGCAGACACAGGGAGAACATGCAAACCGAGGACCTTCTTGCGGAGAAGCGAGAGAGCTGTCCCGTCAGACCTCTGAAGCTAAGCAGGGCAAGGCCTGGTTAGTACTGTGATGGGAGACCTGTGGGAACACCAGGTGCAAGAGTGGGTGGCTGCCAAATGGTTGCTGTGTCCTCAGGCAGGACACTTAACCCACTTGTGTGTGAGTCTGGTGTGTGTGTGAATGGTTGGTGGTGATGGCACAGACTGGTTGCCTCGCTTCTGTTCGTGTGCCCCTGGGCAGATGTGGCTACAGTTACCACTGTGTTTGGAGTGACAGAATAATGATGATGTGAATCGTTTTTGAGCGTCCAGAAAAGTGCCATATTGAACTGAAGCATAAAGTATATTAGCCTCTGTTCCATCTAACCGTTTTTCACAGCATGTACCTATATCTGTGTTAGCTTGTGTTATATTAGATAAAGATAAGACAAGACAAAACATCATTGATCTCATGATGGAGAAATTTAGAATTTATTTAATTTCAAAACCAATAAATTATTCATTCACCAAAATCCTAAAACATATCAATGCTATTACTCCAGTGTCTGCATTACTTTGTGGCCGATCTGTTTTGAAATGCAATATTTGGACAATGTCGTGTCCTGGGTCCCCTTCTCCGTCCATGGCAGCAGTGGCGTCTCTCCCTCTGTCCCTCGACCCTCGTGTCCAGAGCAGGCGGAGGACATATTTAGTAAAAGCGGCGGGTGCTGGACTCGAGTGTGCAGATAAGAGAGAAAGGCAGCTGTGGCATTTGCAAGATTAATCAGAGCCGGCCACTCGCGACGTCCGTTGCACCGGTCGCCCTTGGATACACACAGAGCGCTCTGCAATCTCAACCCAATTCTGATCAATAAACGTGCGAACCGAGATCTATACATTCTCCTATGGATTCTCCTTTTTGCACTCGGAGGTCGTCATAGAAGCATGTTTAAGTTTAGATGGTTTAGTTTTGAATTGGAAAAAGTTTAAAGACACCTTGTGATTGTACCATGTTTGTCAAAGTGCGAGTATAGTTTATTTCAGTCAGTATTTTATTTCACATTAAACTCTGAAGGATGGATCTTTACAGCATTTGCAGATATTGCTTGGAGGTTCTTTTAATAAGACAAAACATTTAATGAGGTTAGTACTGCTTACCATGAGCTTCTTTACATTTGTAATCTCCAAGAAAATTTGAAATAACAAAATTTACTCCTTACAATTACCGTAGAGATTTTGTTGTTGTGGTAAAGGACACTCAAAGATGCTTCACATCCATCCGGATTCAGATTCCGTTTATTTGCCATTTGCAGTAAAAAAACCACATTGGAATACATTAGCAAAAAGTCTCCAGTGTGCACAGACAAATACAGACATAAAACAACATTAAAAGTACGGAAATAAAACAAATAAAACAGTAAACAAGTGTCACTGTGAAATCGATCGACTAAAACAGTTTCAAAACAAGTGCAAATCATTAAAGTGCTCTGTTCACACTGATAACAGCTTGTGGATAAAAACTGTTAGGGTAACGAGATGTCCTGCATCTCAGAGAGCGATATCTTCTGCCAGAGGGAAGAAGCTGGAACATGGCTTTTCCAGGGTGGCCAGAAGAGTCATTAACAACCCTAAGAGCTTTGTTTAAAAGTCTGGATTTATAAAGAACCTCCAGAACAGGAAGCTCACAGCCCACAGTCCTCTTTGCAGAGCGGAGCACCTTGTTTAAAGCTCTCTTTTCTTTATCTGTGATGTTTCCAAACCACACAGACACAGAACCAACAAGTAAACTCTCAATGGTGCAGCGATAAAAGTTAAGCAGAATCTTAGAGTTAGTGGTAAATTCTCTAAGTTTCCGCAGGAAGTAGAGACGCTGACGAGCTTTCTTAACGACTCGGTCAGTGTTTTTAACCCATTTCAGGTCATTAGACAGAGTTAAACCCAGAAACTTACACTCCTCTACAATCTGCACCTGGGAGTTGTCGATAACTACAGGAGTGTGAGAACTGTTACGACTTAAGTCGTAGACCAGTTCACATGTTTTCGATGCGTTCAACTGCAGGTTGTTACTCCTCTGAACCACATACATTCAGCTTCTTCCCTTAATCCATTGCTGCCAAAACACATAGCACCAGCCCCTCACTGATCGTCCTGTAGGTGCCTTGATTTTTCAGCGGGGGCAAAGTGGGGTAAAATGTCTTGTCCAAGGACACAACAACAGCAGCGGGAACAGTTGGAGTAGGTCTTGTGGTAGGCTTGAACCCATGACCTTCAGGATCAAATTCTAATGCTCTACCAACTGAGTCACTTTCACCCTCACATGCTTCACACCTCATTAATAATTCACTCCATTCACGGTGGGGATAAAATACTACTGTAGCCACACTTGCCCTGGGGCACACTGGCAGAATCGAGGCAATCAGTCTGTGTCCTGCTCACCACCTATTCACACACACACACTCATTTTTACGAATTGTGGGTGAAGTGTCTTGCCTGAGGACACAGCAACAGTTTGGCACTGTGGCATCTGGTGTTCCCACAGGTCTCCCATCACACTACCAACCCTTCCCTGCTTAGCTTCAGAGGTGTCAGAGGATCTGGCTTTCACACACAGCTGGAGCCTGCGGCTTTAGATAATGGGCAAAACAACACCATCACAGACACATGTCACTTCCTGTTTTCCTGGCCCAATGTACATGTTTTTGGTTGTAGGGGAAACCGGAGCAACACGCGGGGAGAACATGCAAACTCCATACAGAAAGACCTGGTGGTGGAATCGATCCCAGAACCTCCTTGCTGTGAGCTACAAGCACCAACCAATGCGCCACCGTGCCGCTCAAATCAACTTGTGTGGGGTTTCTCGGGATTGGAACATCTGCCAAAACATTTTTTGTCTTGCCGAGTGGTACATCCTTTAGAGATAGAGTTTTAAGGATAGAGCTCCAAGTCTATCGAGGATCCAGCTGAAGAATGTCTCCCTGGATCGAGGCCCCGGGGAGGAGGGGGTGCTAATGCCTTCCCACGGATGAGACTAAAAGATTACCACCTCTGTGATGGAAGAAGTGGAAGAAAGTCTGTTGATGATTTGAGGTGCCGTCTATATGTACCTGTGCTCCTCTCTGTGTCTATATGTACCTGTGACTCTGTGTCTATATGTACCTGTGACTCTGTGTCTATCTGTCATCCGCAGGCACAGGGAGAACATGCAATATGCAAAACAGAAAGCTCCCAATTATATTATGTGTTGAATCTAGTTCATTATAACAAGCTGAGTTTCAAAAGTCATTATCATAATTACATATTTAATAGTTTAGGGATTTACAGGGGGCTCAGTGATTTATAATTGGGACTATCTTTGCTCATACAAATACAGCAAAAGCCTGAAATGAGAATGAGCAAAGAATAGAATAAGTGGTTTGAATTACAAAATATTCGGATAAAGTAAAATTATTAAATTAAGAGATAAGGGACAGTAAATAAACTATACTTTCTCTATCCATGGCATCTGATTTTAGCTGAGAGGGAAATGCTTCACTATCCTCCAGTGGGACAAAGTTTTATTGTGGGAGACTGAGACGGCTTCTCTCTGCATCTGTTATTAGCTGATTACATAACAGGAGTGTGGTCTGGTTGTCTACATACCAGCTAGCTCCGGTATAGAGGCTAACATGAGGCTAACGCTATAGGAGCCATGTTTGTTTTGGACTAATAACCAACTATAGGCCTCGGTTTGAGTTGTGTTGTTAGTTAAGGTGGAGGGTATACAAGGTGTATCTGATAGGAAACAATATAGGCTGTGAAAGGTGCGGTTTAAAGCTGGGGTACCTAACTTTCGAACAACAATAATGGAACTCAACATCTCAATACTTTGAATCTCAACATTGACAAAAACGTAACCATAACGACTGGCTCCGGAGGCAGATGCCAAAATCAAATTTATCTCAGATTTGAAAGAAAAAAAACACACACATACTTATACACACATTTACACACATACACCACTGCACACTCTCACACACACAAAGACACACGTACACTACACTACTGCACTCACACTCACACACACTACTGCACACTCACACACACTACTGCACACTCACACACGCAACACTACTGCACACTCACAAAATATGTGTGTGCGTGTGTGTGTATGTAAAGTATAAAAAAAAATCTGTAGTCTTTTACTAGCATATTGATTTGTAACCTTGCACATAATATGACATATTCTTGCGTTGGAATTCTACAGACGAACCGATTGTGAACCAAATGTCCCTTAAAGGTGTATAGGAGGATGTTCTACTCCCGGATGGATCAACAAGACTATTGGTCCTCCCAGTTGTCAATCATTCTGGTGATACATGCTCTTCAAATACGACCAGAGAGTTTTGTTTAAAAAGTGGAGAGGGCGGTTCTTTCCTAAAATTTGGGAAAATCCTCCTATATACCTTTAACACAAACCTGATACAACAATACAACAAGCTCAAACGCACACTGAAGTCCATGTCACCCCCAACCTACAAAGAGCTCAGCCGGCTAACAGCAGCTGGTTGGTTGGTTTTTACAATATGCAGAAACACAACGTCTTCAAGCAAGTGTCACTAAACCATGTCTAAACAATCTGTGTGGTGTAAAGCCAGGCCCATGCTCCGCAGTAATGACATAATGCTACCTCTATGATAACACCACGAGGCCACGGCATCGCACCCCGAAGAGCCGGACCCAGGCGGGAATGTGTCGCTGTCAGAGGGGTCTATATTGGCAAAGTGAATCGGGCCCCAAGCATTCACCAGCCTCAAGTTACAAACCTTATAAGGACCAAGGCCCATGTGTCTACGCGCCCACTTCTATTCTTAGTCCTTGTCTGCCGCTAGCCCTCGGCAACCCTACAAGCAAGAAAACTCTTCGACCGAATCGCGAAATTACGTAAATATATGTTCCGGTAGTTGCATGCAAAAATCGTGTGTTGATTCTTGTGTGTTTTTGTGGTTTTTCCGGTTGTAAATTTGCTTCTTGCGTTTTCTTCCAGTGGCGTGGATCAGCAGTCCCCACCCACATTTCGAGACAGCCATCATCGCCGATCCTTGCTCCAGGCTTTCTTGACCTGAGCAACACCGGGAGAAAGGGAAAAAGGGAAGAGGGTGAAACTAAGAGGGCGATTTCCAACGCGGGACGTCCCAGAGAAGCTAGGGTGCAAGCCATCGCCAAACGCAGGACGTAGACGAAGCAGAAGAAGAAGAAGAAGGGAATTTGTAGTTTGAGAACAAAATGAGCTCGACGTATACTGTCAGTCTGAACGGCCCTGCTCCTTGGGGCTTCAGGCTACAGGGAGGCAAGGACTTCAACATGCCACTGACCATTTCCAGGGTAAGAAGAGACTGAAAATGTGGTTAAATGCAAAAAAAAAATGGAAGAAAATGCATGGATTTTGAATGTTTTTAGCTAAAAGTTACACTGATCTCCCATAGGAAAAATACCTCCTATTGTCAATATGCATGGCCTTTCAAAACAAGACAAACAAGCTAATTTGCATCATAATTGTTTATTTTTTCTAAAGCAAAGTTTTGTCTTCAACACAGCTACACAACTGTCAATGTACTACCAACACATTTATCAGAAATATTGCTAACTTATGAAATCATTTTGCAATAACAATGTATTTTAAAAAAAGACTCATGCACTGTCACATATTGCATGCATTTGCTTGTTTTAATGTAGCTAGCCAGGGAACAGGGGAACAGTTAGCCAAACATCAAACCAACCCAATGGAATCATATATATATATTTTGACTGCCCATATTGGAGAGAGCATGTTTGACTGTTATGTTATGCTAGGACAGTGTAAAGCCGGGGTGCGTAACTTTCAAACCACAATATTGGAACTAGCTTAAGAAAAAAATACCGTATTGAAACTCTATAGCTGCACGCTCGGATGTATTGTTTGTATTGTATCCTCAGCTTTTTCAGACAGATAAGAAGAAAAGAGAGGACCAGCCTTGCTCTAGCCAATCAGCTCTCAAACCAAAGTGTCAAATAGTGACTCATAGGGCTCTTTCTTACAAGTATTAGCAAACATTTTAATGATTTCCAATGAGATGACGAAGGCGGGTTAGTTGTTGAGTTCACTTTTATAAATCTTTTTCTGATGGGACAACGACAATGCATTATTTCGTTCAATTCAATTAAGTTTTTAATCGCCCTAAATCACAACAGTAGTTTTCTCAGAGGACTTGATGATGTTTCAACACAGATCAGAGAATCACACAGGAAATGCAATGATAAAAAACACAAACAGCCATTGGTCTATGAGGGGACAGGTGACCAATGTCCATTAATGTAATACTTATTCATGAAATGTACTGTATGTGATAAAAAAAATTACATACCCCACCTTTTAAAAAAACCATTGATGTTTTTTTGATGCATTTAAACTTAATCACAGTTTTCCAGTTTTCACCAACTAATCGCCAACTTTTTTGACGGTGAAGTTATCCATAGAGACTGGGAGAAAGCAGCTGCCATTGAGAGAGCGAATTGGAGTCAGAAGTGGTTATGTAATATATCGAGTGATGATGCCACACGGCTCACATGTAAAATCCAGAATAGACCTGCTCCAGCTGGACCCACACAGTTTGGACCCGCATTCAAATAACTTTTCATTTTTACCTCAGCGAGTTTTAAACTTTTCTCTATACTGTAGTTCGAAATTTGCAGTTTTTATATTACTTTGTTGCTAGAGTTAAAGTTAGATAAGGTTTAATATACTTGTCTTCACTTTAAAAAAGGCAACATCGTGAGGCGCTACTCCTGTTTTTCCTCTTGGGTTAGAAAATAGACACATAAAAAGTAGATTATTTAATTAAAACATAGATCATAAAAAATAAGTAGAAAACGATAGTAAAAACTAAACAGAAAAGCATTCGGATGGCAGATACATATAATAAGTATGCCGGATGGAGATTAATTTTGCTTTACCAGACCTGGAACTGGCACAAACCGAATTAAAGGGGATGTTCACAACTTTCATTTTTAAGATAAATTGTATTTCTGAGCAGGGGACACTGAACTATCCTGCACAGTGCATCATTTTTAAGCATTTGTACATTTAAAATAGTCCCTCCCCTTTAAATACCCACCACCAGTACGATTGGCTGGAGGAGAACAGTTGAACCAATGACGAGAGCCCTCAACAATTTGCATTAATTCCGTCCAATCAGAAAGCAGCGGAGAGGAGAATGGGCGGAGCTAACCAGTCTTCAAAAAGATACTCAAAAGTTAGCCTCATAGCCTCGTACAAATTAGCTTTATTGACTTTAAAAACATGCTAAATCTACTGTTTAGTCACGAGCCACAAGCCGCATGAGTATGACCATATTTCAATCAATGTTTAGAAAGTTTTTGTAAGTTGTATGCATTTCTGCTATTTTCTCGGATTTCAAAAAAACTGTATTTTAGACGTGCGATGGAAAAAACATGTCACGTTTTGGGTGAGGCAGTTGGGATGGGGTCTGGCACCGCGGTGGGAGTATTTACAGCCCCCTCCTTAAATAGCTTCAGAGGAGATGGGGAATACTGTGTGTGGTATATCTTGTATTACCGCCTGTAAACTTTATCCTTCTGGCTTATGTGGAAGTTTCCATTTTGTGTGAGAAATTAAAACCTTTTTACAGCTACTGGTTCACATAGATAGTGAAGTAGCCAGTTGTTGATTTATGGATTGCTCATTGTCCTTGTCTTACTAGCGTTGATGTACTCTCAGTATTATAATGCATTGTTGGATTTGTGTCTGTGGTTTTAAAGCTGGGGAACCTAACTTTTTTTTAAAAACATGACAAAGTGATCGAGTTCTTTGCTCTTAAAACAGTTTCCATCACTAGTTTTCCCGTGTCTTTTTTGATCTCGGTCTCCGTCTCTCTCTTTAGAAAAGCTTTTTTTCAGACAGAAAAGTGAAAAAGAGAGGACCCCCCTCACTCAGCCAATCAGCTCCAAGCCCAAAACATCAAATAGTGACTCACAGGGCTCTTCCTCACAATGACGCCAAAGATAATATGTGATGTAATGATTGTCGTGGTCAAATTTGTTTGCAATTTTTAACTTTAGCAAAATGTATCTTATTTTGAGCACATTTTTTCTGCAAGAACAACAAGATTTTCCAATGGAACAATGAGCAAAAGGATCTTGTTTTAAAAAGATACAAGAAATGTCTCCCTTGGAATGAGAAAATACAGCAACAGTTCTTGATATTAGACTAAATAGCTTTGTCCCATTGGCATTTTTTAAATATAATAATAATCATTTTCATAATGTCTCAAAACAAGTTCAAAAAAACAAAGCAATGATTACCTCATATTTCATAATTTTTTGCAGTGAACATGTATCATTCATTATTTTTAAAGTCAGGTTTAGCTTCAAGCCTTGACATAACACATAGGGCTTTGACGTGATCAGTTGGGCTGAAGTTACAACATTGACGTAACAGACGTGGTTTGGATTTCAGCCGAGTTTTGCCAAGAACTAAGAAAAGACGCAGGAACGGAGGCAGGAAATTCCTTGCATTTTGTGAGTCGGAAGAAGTTTCAAGAGGTTTAAGGAATTATTGAAGGAGTTTGTTGGAGACAGGTACTGCATACAGTGTAGTTTATCGTGTACTTTTGAAAGCAAGTCAATCAATTAGTGTTGTATTATTATTATTTTTATGTTTACTATTATCTCCAGTTCAGCCAAGTTTGATGGTTTTCCAAGCACTTTTTCCTACCGCTTTATTTCTTGTGTGAAAAAGCAACATCCATGTATATCTTAAGAAAAAAAAAGAATACGCCGTCTGCGATTGCCCAAGGTCATCACGAACGCTCCAGACGATGTTTACACGGCGGAGAGAAGCGGAGAGGAAGCTACAACTGTTTACAAAGCCTTGATTATGTCTGTGGACAAGTGAAGAGAAAATTGCTCTTTGCTTTTTTTATGCCCCCGCCAGAGCACTTTTGGACTACAATGGCGGCTTCTCCACCTCACAGTTAGTTATGCTTTGTCAAATCAGTGAAGTGTCCGCTGTTCGTCTGACTGTCCACCTGCAATCACCAGGGACTGTATAGAAAGGCCAGAGGGGGCTTGTGTCTGGTGGGCAGTCTGTGAGCAGGGCCGGAGCTACAGAATTTGGGCAATGGGGGGGTCTGGATTAGAAAAAGGAGGGGGGCATTCAGAATGCAGTTAAGAAATACCAATATACATACTGGGTATCCTGAGTCGTTTTTACAAATTTGGCAAAATGTATCCTAATTTAAGCACATTTGAAGTGCCTCAAAACCAGATTTGACAATGAGCCAAGCTAAATCATTCTATTTTAAAACAATATAAGGAATGTCTCCCTTGGAAACAGAAAATACTACTTTGGTGAGTCTTGAATTAACTCAAATTAAGATAAAAACGACTCAATTCAATTAAAATACTTTGTTTTATAAAGTTGCAGGGCCCCATCTTTTGTCTGTTTAAACATTCTCCCATTTCTGAAAACACCAGAGCTTAAAGGGTTAACCAGATTTGCACAAGTCCATGGATCATTATAATCAGAGAGTGACGACATATAAGCTTCATGAGAATCTCTAGGTTTATATCTGAAAACAGCAAAAACTAGAAAACCCCTGGGAGAGTGCAAACCTCTGAGTTTACCGTGATGTATGTAATGCGCCCGAGTGTGTTGTTAGCATTTAGCCTAGCCATCTCCTTTGCTGCTAACGGAGCCCGTGGCGAGTAGCGCCACAATCTTGACCAGCGATTACATTTGCTAAACATTCCTATCGCTCCTGCTTCAATTTCTTGATAGAACCAGATCGGATTACTTTACTATCGCATTCTTCGGCATTGCCAAACTACAACCTGCCCGTTCGGCACAAACTCCTGACGTCACCGGCACCGACCTACAACACCCGCCTTCCGCGCTCTGAGTAGCTGGTCGAAATACGACCGATTGTATTCGCTAACACAGGGACCAGACCCAGACGTTACATGCAGTGAAATGATGATTGAGTGGAGTGTACGGATGGCTATGGCCAGGCTAATCCAGACAGGGAATCTGATAAAAAAAATTCCCATAATGTTTCCTACTGTTTTTGAAATTGTGGTAAAAGTTTTTAGTTATGGTGCAAACTCACCAACAGTCAAAAAGGCATTTTTTTTTTGATAAGCACAGTTCATACAAAAGGCAAATTAAGAAAACAAGATAGAAACAATCAAACAAGTAACATAAATAATCACAGTACATTAAAGAGAGTACAATCCCTCAGTTGTTGCTAACAGAACTGGTTTTAACCTGGATTTGAACATTGTCAGAGAAGAAGCCCGTCTCACATTTTCAGGAAGACTGTTTCAGATCTTAGCTGCATGAATCTGAATTGCTGCCTCCACATATTTTGTCAAATTCAGAGGAAATTGCATCCTTTTTGGCTGAGATAACTAGAGCTTTGATCAAATTGGTATTTCTTGGCTCTACTGGAAAAGATACATTAGACTTTGGACTTTTATGGCCCTACGAGGAAAAATCACATACACAAAGCCCATTTGGAAATTAAAATATAAAAGTCACTTACCACTTAGACATAGTAACACATACAACACAAAATGGTTAACTCAATTTCAGTATAATATCACACAACAGTGATAGAATAAGAGTAAGAGCATTTTAAACCTATTTTTGTAGATTTTTGCGGTGTAAATATCAGTATTTCAGGATGGAAGATAAATTCTCAGGTGTCGAGTCCGGGGTTGGATCGACTCCTGTGGCGTTTCCCGTAACTCTCAAGAGATTTCGTGGTGTTCGAGTTTAACAGAAAGTAGTGTTGAGAAGTGAGTGTCAGCAGCAGGTGTGTGTGTGTGTCTTTCTGTGCGTGTGCGTCTACAGCAGCAGGTGTGTGTGTTTTTGTGTGTTCGGGACGGCAGAGCTCACAGGGGTCAATCCGAGTGGAGCTTCAGGCATCAACACAGGGAGAGGAGAGTTTATTTTTATCTGCTTTAACGACTGTAAGGTTAGAGCGGCTTCTATAGGCTTCCACTTGCTTTTAACGCAAGATGCACAACAAAATATACCAGCCGGTCAACGATATTCCATCTTGAACCTATTGCTATATGGCCAGAAACCCGCTTATAAATGACCTCCAGGCCACTCGGCTAATAAAACGCTTCTTTGCTTCATCTTCAGCAAATCAATGTAATGTTTTTTTATCTGCCGGAGATAAGTTAACGATAGGCTAATGCTACATATAACAAGCTGCACTATAAAAATCAATATGGCGAGTTTAACTAGCTTAAATACAGGTCCACACATGTCTTGTCTGTCTCTTCCTTGACCAATGGACCAAGAGATGTGTTTCTGAACTAAAGCAAGAAAGACGGGAAAACGTATGCTCCATTGGAAGTCAAATGTATTCAAATCAGAGACATTTTGGTAATTGGTTGTAAAATGTTTGGAATTCAAGACATTTACCTCATCAGACAATGTTTGTATATCGTATTCCAAGCCAATCTATAGTGACATTAGACCAGGGGAGTCCAAACTTCTAAGTAAGAGCGTCACTCTAGTTAGAATTGGGTTTGACGTGTCCATTTTGATTCACAGCATGGCTACAGTGGTGCCATATATGGAATTCTATGACAAAATGTGAAACAAAATGCGTATGAATAAATTTGACGAGGTTTTGAGCTTTAAAACAAGGAATAGGGTGAATATGTTGTTGGTGCCGAAGTTGGCTGGATTACACTGTGAATGTGCCTCAATGGCTAGTTTGTATTAGCAGAATAGGTACACAGAGGACCTAAGTTTGGACGTGCCTGCTATTGCCTGAAAACCAGCTGTTGTTGAACTGAGGAAAAGTTTACTTCTGTACATTAGAGACTTTCAAATCCAGCCAAAAGACACTTTTGTGCCTTGGCTTTTTACACCAACTAAATGTTACGGTTTTACATTTATGTATTTATGTATTTGTTGCCCTTTTTTGTTATTTTTTACAACATCTGTGCATGTGAAACACTTTGGCCAGCCGGTGTTGTTGTAAGACTCATATTCAGATTCAGTTCATCTGCTTTGAGGTAAACCACATTGGAATACATGTGCAAAAGTTCTCGGTGTGCACCAAACAAGTACATAAATAAAGCAAGCTCAATTCAATTCAGTTATTTTTTTTATAGCCCTAAATCACAACAGTATCAGTATTATCTTGGTGGACTTTACAAAATTGTCAAAGTCTCCAACAACAGATCAGAGAATCAAACAGTTCATAGTTGTTGGTCCATTGAGGGCAGATGACCAATGTCCATAAATCTGGATAATGTCCATAAATGTCGTTGAATGTGGAGTGCCTTGGATCACACTAAAAAGTACAGGACTAAAACAAGTTAAAAGTTAAAGTTAAATACAGTACAGACTATTTGTTCTATTCAAACCAAGTTGACTTTGACTCTGACCCTTAATATATACAAATGTGTAAAAATAGTCTTGCATAGATAGTCTTGCAAAAATGCATGACAACTGTTGATGAAGTGGATGTTTTGGAGTGTCCGGTTTGTTGTTTGAAACCTTACCCCCGTCTGTCACTTGTCTGCGTTTGACCCGTTCCATTGACCTGTCCGTAGATAACTCCTGGGAGCAAGGCGGCTGGAGGCAGCCTCACTCAGGGCGACATCATCTCCACCATCGACGGGGTCAGCACCGACGGAATGACCCACCTGGAGGCACAGAACAAGATCAAGGCAGCCACGAACAAACTCACACTCACAATGCTCAAGTAAGTCTGGACAGAAGCCAAAAATCTGCTTCTAGATAGATGGGTAGTTACTGTAGATATATATATAGATTGATAGGTAGATAGTTTGATAGATAGATAGATAGATAGATAGATAGATAGATAGATAGATAGATAGATAGATAGATAGATAGATAGATAGATAGATAGATAGATAGATAGATAGATAGATAGATAGATGGATAGCAGCAAAGGTGATGTAGCCGCCGGCAATGAGCTGCTTCTCTCTGGTTGATGTTTGCAGAGTCTGATTGGTTCGGACCATTTTCTCTGCTCTGGTTCAGAGTGAAATTCTGAATGCTTGTTTAGCCTTTTTTTTTATTATTATTATTAATATTCCTCCAGTGGGTCTTTGCTTGATCTGCTTGGTGCATCCTCTCTGCTCTGGTCTGGATCAGTGTAAAACCATAAACTCGGTGCCGCAGTAACATTTACAGCTAGAAAATACCAAGAAAAATAATTAGCATAAAACGCAAAACAACAACTGTTTCAGAGCGACTTAGGACTTAGTCCAGTTTTCAGCGCAGTCAAAAGTAAATATCTGTTGAGGCGACGTGAGAATTCAGTGCTCAGACAAAGGGTACTGTCTATCTACAGTACACCAAGGGTCTCCAACCGGTTCTACACAATAGTAAAAACAACTGGGTTTCAATGGGTCAGAGATGGGGAGAGACTGTTGATCACCCTCAAAGAACCATCCAGCTAAACATGTATTGACCCTACGTCTTAGATAGAACTACTGTATGTAAGAAATGTCCAGATATAACTATACTTCCTCTCAAAACAGTTTATCACTAGTTTATCAGTAGCTTTCACATTATTTGGCCTCCTTTTTTGTAATCAAGAAAAGAAAAACCAGACACTGGAATCAAACATGTGGACACTAGTTTCTAAGTCACATTATTCTCCCCTATAGAAAATAAAAACAAGCTCAGAATTTGTTAGAATGCTTCAAACATCCCTTAAGAAGCAACGTATGTAAAACAAAAAACATATACATACATTTATTTTTTCTTTCCTCTCCTTTTTTGTTGTATGGACTATGTTGAACATGTTGTAAAGCAAGCACTCAATAGGTACATGTGACACTACCATTTACCATAAGTCTGTTTTTTGTGCTAAATTCCGAATGGCTTTGACAATGGTCGTGATTTCTTCTGATTTCTGGAACCCACAAAAAGACGCTGTTATAGTTACAGCTGTACAATGTGCGAATACTTGGCACCATCTAGTGGCTGCACCTATACATTACAACCTCAACTACTGTTTTCTATGACTTTCTGTCAGTGGAGGAATGCACAAATATGTCATCCAACCATAGATTGTAAATATGTCTATATCTAACGCGTAGTACTATAATAATAATAATAATAATACACTATATACAATAATAATACATATACATACGTACTCAATTACAATAGAGTTATACAGTAAATAGTAATAAAATAATACCAATAAAAAATACTTTTGATTTTTATTCCAGATCACGACGCGCCGTACTGGTTCCCACGGGTGGATCCAGAATGGACTCCCCAATGCCAGTCATCCCCCACCAGAAGGTAAACAAACCAAACCAAACTAACAAGTCGTACATATATGTTCTGACGCTCTCTGAAAGAAGATCTCGTCACATAAACTGCAGACACACATCGTTTACAGTTGTGCTGGAAAGTTCCCTCACTAGGGCAGAAGATTCAATCATTGTTTGAGGCTATATTAAAAAAATTATGAATGTTTTTTTTCAGTCATTGTTGGTGGTTGTGTGAAGACAGAAACTCCTCTTCTTACCCTGATAAGTCTTAATCCCCTAGGTTTTTCTCTCTCTCTGGTGTTTCTCCTTCTGGTGTCTCGCGCTCTGGTGTCTCTCTGGTTTAGAGAGAGACGCCTACTCTCTCTCTCTCTAGTGTCTCTCTCTCTGGTGTCTCTCTCTCTAGTCTCTCTCTCTCTGGTGTCTCTCTGGTGTCTCTCTCTGGTGTTTCTCTCTCTTGTGTCTCACTGGTCTCTTTCTCTCTCTGATCTCCCTCTTTCTGTTCTCTCTATCTCTGTCTCTCTCTAGTGTTTCTCTCTCTGTGGTGTTTCTCTCTCTCTAGTGTCTCTCTCTGGTGTTTTTCTCTTTCTAGTGTTTCTCTCTCTCTGGTGTTTCTCTCTCTCTAGTGTTTCTGTCTCTCTGGTGTTTCTCTCTCTCTCTCTAGTGTCTCTCACTGGCCTCTTTCTCTCTCTCTCTCTCTCTCTCTCTCTCTCTCTCTCTCTCTCTCTCTCTCTCTCTCTCTCTCTCTCTCTCTCTCTCTCTCTCTCTCTCTCTCTGTTATCACTCTCTCTCCGCTGGCTTCACACACAACCACTAACATTAAGCGGGATGTCTTATCATTTATTTTCCCCACATTATGGCCAAAACAATGTCTCCTGCTGGCTCTGACCACTTTCAAGCACAACTGAACCTTTGCAGTTATGTATTTCTAAATGTTTTGTTTTCACACTTTTCCTCCCATAAAAGGATTGTCCATCTAGGATCTTGCATGCCTCTCCATCGCCAGAGCCTGCAGTGTCAGCTCAAGGCCTGCAGGGGGTGTATAACTCTCCCATCGGCCTGTACTCTGCAGAGACTCTTGCAGAGATGACAGCGCTGCAGGGCAGGGTGGGAGGCCTGGCAGCAGCTCTGGGGTATGTCAGTTTAAAGACAAAACTTACAATAAGAAACGGAACAAGTAGTAATCAATAAAACCGTAACTAACGGGAAAACGTCAAGGAGAAGTAAGCGACGCTGCTGATATAAAAACACTAGGATTATGGTGACTTCTGTGAGTCGTGAGCCCAAAAAGCTAATAACTACAGTGTCTTTCCAAAAGACAAAAGATGTAATCATATATTCCCTTTAACCATTTTCTCTCTGTCAAAACGTTTTGCTTCCAACATTAATTGTTCATGTAGATACAGAAAAAGACCAACAATGGACATGAGGAGTAATTAAGCTTCCAACACTAAAAGCAGTCAAATTAACTGCTCTGGGAGTGTTAGTCAGTACATTCATATTGATAGTAAGCAGAGGTTAGATAGTGACTAAGTGTATTTAAAAAGCCCAAAAAATGATGGTTCCACTTTTCAGAATCAGAAACAGAATCAGATTTATTCTATTGCCATTGTAAGTAATAGTAGTAGTAATACTAGGAACTTGCTTTAGCTCTAGGTGCAAATATCTGCAAAAGTATGTAAAAAAAAATTCAAATTACAACTATATTCAAGTGCACACAATAGTGTAAAGTGTAAAATACTTTGAATCGAACTCAAATCAAAAGTATATATATAGTTTTTGGTCCATGTGCAGCTTTGAAATCCGTTTCCCTCTCCTTGGACTTTACACGTGCACATACAGTCAGTTTGTTCCCGGCACCTGATATTAACGCTGTGATAAACTGGGATCTTTCCGTCGCTGCTCCCTGGAGGCGTGCGGGGGCCACGTGGGGGTATTTGTGGAGCTGCTGATCCGAGCAGGAAACTAAAGGACTGTAGCTGACCTCAGATCACAAATACATCACTGTGGAGTTGAAAACTATAGTAAAATGGCATGTTTTGGTTGGTCCAGCAAACCAGTTAGATGGATAGACTTTAATACAAGCCTTCTGTGGATTCTGAGGAGTGAGAATAGAAGCACGCTCTCTCTGTGCTTGAGAGTAAGGCCAGAGTATATGTGAGAGTAAGACAAGAGTATATGTGAGAGTAAGACCAGAGTATGTGTGAGAGTAAGACCAGAGTATGTGTGAGAGTAAGACCAGAGTATATGTGAGAGTAAGACCAGAGTATGTGTGAGAGTAAGACCAGAGTATATGTGAGAGTAAGACCAGAGTAGACCGAGAGTAAACCAAGAGTATATGTGAGAGTGAGCCTAGAGTATATGTGAGAGTAAGGCCAGAGTACGTGTGAGAGTAAGACCAGAGTATATGTGCGAGTAAGACCAGAGTATGTGTGAGAGTAAGACCAGAGTATATGTGAGAGTAAGACCAGAGTATATGTGAGAGTAAGCCCAGAGTAGACCGAGAGTAAACCAAGAGTATATGTGAGAGTAAGGCCAGAGTATGTGAGAGTAAGGCCAGAATAAGCCCAGAGTATATGTGAGAGTAAGACCAGAGTATATGTGAGAGAAAACTCAGAGTATATATGAAAGTAAGACCAGAGCAAGGCCAGAGTAAGGCCGGAGTAAGGCCAGAGTAAGGCCAGAGTAAGGCCCGAGTAAGGCCAGAGTAAGCCCAGAGTATGTGCTGCAGGGATGTGGTGTTTGAAACAGTGGCTGAGGTTAATTGAGGCTGGTATCCGCGGCTCGAGGCGGCTCTTGTGTCGGTGCTGATGCAGGATCACGGTGTACGATCACACACATCACTCAGGTGTACACAAACGTGATCCAGGGGCTCAGGAACCACCCCCGTCATCCCCAGGTCCAAGGACAGAGACCGGAACAGGGCAGGGCAGGGCAGGGGGAGGGACAAGGGGAGGGGCAAGGGCCTCCTATCAAATAAATAAAAAGGACAAAACCATAGAAACATGTAGATTCTATGGACATTTGTGACTGCTTTTGTTGGGCTCAGGTCAGAGATTTCATACATAATTCTGAAAATGGACTGCCTTTAGGTTTTGTCAGGGCATAATAATTATAACCAGGTGTGTCCCTTTAAAAAAAACAAGACAGAAATCATGAGACGGGAAAAACTGTAGTAGTTGTTAATTCATAATTTGTGAGAAAATTATTATTATTATTTTGATATATAAAATTCAATGTAGTGACATTTGATGATGTTGGTTTCTAATGTTTTATGTTCATTGAAATGAATAAACACTCAATAATACATGTTTAGAATTGACACATGTACTACATGTTACTGCACTACACACTACTGTACTACATGTTACTGTACTACATGCTTCTGTACTACATGTTACTGCACTACATGCTACTGCACTACACGCTACTGCACTACATGTATTTGTTACTGCACTACACACTACTGTACTACATGTTACTGCACCACATGCTTCTGTACTACATGTTACTGCACTACATGTTACTGCACTACACACTACTGTACTACATGTTACTGCACCACATGCTTCTGTACTACATGTTACTGCACTACATGCTACTGCACTACACGCTACTGCACTACATGTATTTGTTACTGCACTACAAGCTACTGTACTACATGTTACTGTACTACATGCTTCTGTACTACATGTTACTGCACTACATGCTACTGCACTGCACGCTACTGCACTACATGTATTTGTTACTGCACTACACGCTACTGTACTACATGTTACTGTACTACATGCTTCTGTACTACATGTTACTGCACTACATGCTACTGCACTGCACGCTACTGCACTACATGTATTTGTTACTGGACTACACGTTACTGTACTACACGCTACTGTACTACATGTATTTGTTACTGCACTACACGCTACTGTACTACATGTGACTGTACGACAGGTTACTGCACTACACGCTACTGTACTACATGTTACTGCACCACATGCTTCTGTACTACATGTTACTGCACTACATGCTACTGCACTACACGCTACTGCACTACATGTATTTGTTACTGCACTACAAGCTACTGTACTACATGTTACTGTACTACATGCTTCTGTACTACATGTTACTGCACTACATGCTACTGCACTGCACGCTACTGCACTACATGTATTTGTTACTGCACTACACGCTACTGTACTACATGTTACTGTACTACATGCTTCTGTACTACATGTTACTGCACTACATGCTACTGCACGCTACTGCACTACATGTATTTGTTACTGGACTACACGTTACTGTACTACACGCTACTGTACTACATGTATTTGTTACTGCACTACACGCTACTGTACTACATGTGACTGTACGACAGGTTACTGCACTACACGCTACTGTACTACACACTACTGCACTACATGTTACTGTACTACACGTTTTTGTTCTACATGTATTTGTTACTGCACTACACGTTACTGTACTACATGTATTTGTTACTCTACTACACGTTACTGTACTACATGTATTTGTTACTCTACTACACGCTACTGTACTACATGTTACTGTACTACACGTCACTGTAGTACACGTTACTGTACTACACATTGCTGTAGTACACATAATTGTAGTACACATTACTGTAGTGCATGTACTGTACTACACATTACTGTAGTACACGTTACTGTACTACACATAATTGTAGTACACGTTACTGTACTACACGTTACTGTACTACACGTTACTGTACTACACATAATTGTAGTACACATTACTGTAGTGCATGTACTGTACTAGACATTACTGTAGTACATGTACTGCAGAGGCGGGTCTGGGGGCGTCAGCTGATCCCAGAGGCTAAAACTGTCCGACCTCCTGCTGTTGTCACTCACTCCCTCCACACTGAGCTAATGAGGCAGTGTAAAGCTTCCAGAATACATATATACACATACAGTATACACATGCACATACAGTACACACACACACACGTACACACACATATATATAAATAAATGTGTCTCAGTGATGACTAACAACTGCCATCTCCCCTGCTGCTGTTGGATTACCGCTGGATTACTCTACGCTATTGTTGCGCTCGAAATAAAGCAGATATTTTAGAGGCGTGTCTTGTGTTTTGGTGTCTTACAGGTCATCGCAAACACACCGGCAAAGTCAGTAACACAATGCAACACAACAGCTTGATCTATTTTGGAAGTTTGTGAATGGAGTGATGGGTTGGGATTGCTTGGACATGTTTTGTGTTGCATTATGTGTGTGTTGTAAAGCGTGTCTCAATCTGCCTGAGGTTAATACAAAGTGTACTCTTGTGTGTTTGTTTTTGTATACTTTTAAAAAATAAATAAAAAAATCTTTCATAGGGCACATTAGTCCGTAGGGGGCAGATGTCCAATGTCCATAAATGTTAATAAATGTCCTTTAATATCCTAGGAATAGCGTTAATTGAACTTCTTTACTCCCTAATTTGCTTAAGAAATCTGAAAAACATATTTTAGCTTGGATTGGATTGCATAATAATTGATTAATATTATTAGTATCTAAAGAATATAAATGTATCTTTGGTGTACCCCATGTTCTAACAGGTTGGGTTCATATTTTGAAAAAAAAAAGTGAAATATTTACTTTGAAATTCCATTTAACGGCTGAATTATTATTCTTTTTTCACTCTTTCTGATTAAATTAGTAAAGTGAAATTGGCAAATATGCATTCCTTTTGTTTGCAAATGACTCAAAATTCATATTCATTTGTGATCGATCATTGTGCTGTGTTTTTTTTTTGACGAGTGTGACAGCTTTTCATTCATGCTTTCTGTGAACATGGATGAACACACGCATGAGGGAATGAAATCTGTGTCTTTCATACTGTGTGTTGGATTAAATCATTCATAACATTTGGTCCATGGCTGGTTTGGTAGAAGTGCATGTGGTTGTGTGTTGTCTGTTGTTGTGTTTCTGATGTTATTGAAATATGAAGATAAAGAGGAAAAAGTACAAAATTCAGATGTTGATGGCAGATGTACAGATGTGTTTGAAAGTTTACAGACATAGCAAAAAGTTTAGGCCGCATGTTATGATGACAGAACTCTCTGATCTCTCTCTGATCCCTCTCTCTCTCTCTGGTGTCAATCTAGTCTCTCTCTGGTCTCTCTCTGGTCTCTCTATTTGGCCTCTCTCTCACTCTAGTCTCTCTCTCTCTCTCTCTCTGGTGTCAATCTAGTCTCTCTCTGGTCTTTCTCTGGTCTCCCTCTGTGGCCCATTTCTCAGTCTAGTCTAGTCTCTCTCTCTGGTCTCCCTCTGGTCTTACAGTTTCTCTATGATGGAAAAGTTGCCCATTCTTCTCAGCAAAAAGCCTTCAGCCACTGACAATTTTTGATTAATCTTCAGATCGACTCTATGATGTCATCATTTGTATATAGAAAACACAAACTTATAGCAAAACCACAGCTGGGTGTAAACTTTCAAGCACGACTGTATAATCCAGACGGAACTATGCAAAAACTGAACTTGTGTAATACATAGAGTTGTATTAGTAAACAATAACTGTGAAAATCTCCCTAACCTTTCACTTTTTACCCTCACAACCCTGTTTCCTCTGTCACTTCCTCTCTCCACTCCTCCTGCACCGGCCCCACACTGCCCCCTGCCTGTCACAGTGTGGAGTACAGCCCCAGCTTCAACCCCATCGCCCTGAAAGACTCGGCCCTGTCCACCCACAAGCCCATCGAGGTGCGGGGTCCTGGGGGAAAGGCCACCATCGTGCACGCCCAGTACAACACCCCCATCAGCATGTACTCACAAGACGCCATCATGGACGCCATCGCCGGACAGTCACAGGCCAAAGGGCACGAGAAGTGAGTCACCCGGGGGACGCTCAGAACGCCACAGTATTTGAATAAGTTTAGGATGTGAGAAAGAATCAGAAAACAAATGGATGGAGAAGATACTGTAGGCTTAGTCGATATTTTTAGTATTTTAGTATAAGAAGGCTTTTTGTACGGCTATGATACAAACTATAGAAAGCCATTTGAGAAAGTTTAATATCAGTAATGAATAAACAGGACACGTAGAAACTAGAGACTGGGAATATTTCAGCACCTGCAGTTACAATACATCTCTACAGAGGACTTTACAATATTGTTCTAAATGAAAGGCTTTTGGGCCCATAGGAACTAGGACTGGGCAGGGGACTTTACAATTTTATTTATAACCAATACAATATGATTTGGTCCTCTATCTTTAAGGTAATAAAGAAGAAAGTATAACATCTCTATCTTTAGCAGGATATTAGAAGCCTGTGTAGAAAATCTAACTTATGTATAATAAAGAAGCAAGTGTAAAGTGCAAGAAATATAGAGTTTTATGGATACATCAGAACTGGGTTAATGTCATAATGACCATTGTCTACAAAAAATCACTATTAAAACGTAAAAAAAACCTTTTAGTGTTGCTATAGATCTTATTATTATTATCTTTTCGCTGTGGGCTTCTCCTTGTCGTCTTTGTCTGTGCCTCTTGTTTGTGCCATTCACCCACTCTCCCTTTGCTCATTTCATCCACAACCACCACCAAAACCACCACCACCTCCGCCCTGCCTCTGTACCCCCACCTTCCTCTCCCCATCCTGGGTACGATGCAGTGAGGAACCCCAGGGCTCTCCTTTGGCGTGAGTACCAGCAGCAGACGGACCGCCCCTCCTCCATCGGCCCATTCTGTCTTTTTCTCATTCTCCTAACAGCTTGTGCATTGCTACATGTCTCTCGTACTAACAAAACAACAGGGAGAAAAAAAGTGGATGTGTTTTGTCGAGTAGTGATGGGCGATATATCAATATTGGTCGATATTTAACCATTTCTTGTCGTGTGATTGGTCCAATGTTTCAAAAAACAGCTGTTACTTTAAATATTGTGACGGTAGAGAGGGGATTTGTTTAATGAAAGCTCCCCTGCTTCCTGATTGGACGTAGTACATTCAAATTCTCAATTGACAGGCAAGCTCTCTCCCCATTGGTTGAGCCATTCCCCTGCAGAGACGTTATAGGCTGTCGTTATAAGGAGGAGAATCTGAGTTTGTTTTTGTAATATATCTGTAATCTATGTGATTTATGAACTGTTTTAGTCCAGGTCTTTGAGAGTCATAACTGGAATGTGCAATCATAAATAATTGTTTTATAATGTTTTAGGAATTCAATTTTTACATGTTGTAAAAATATGTTTGTAAATTAATTTTTTTGTGAGTCCCCAGGAAGAATAGCAACTGCGCTAATGGGGAACCAATAAATAAACCATATTTGTTTTTAGCAATATATGATGTCATTGTGTAGTAAAATACCAGTTAAGTCTTTTCAATGCATTAAAGCTTGGGTACGTAACTTTAAAACAAAAAAATAGCATTTAAGTAGGATATTAAAGCCATCTTACTATTTCCTAATTCTCAAATGGTTTTTGGTTCAATTACTAGCTTTAAAGTTACAATCAGCCCAAAGAGTCAAATAGTGACTTACAAGTTTATATTTCTATTAGGGTAAAACGTGTTGTGTCTAATTAGTTCACAATGTTTTACAACTATGCCATTTTTACCGATTCCATAATGTTGTAATTATGGGGAAACAAGTCTGGTACCCCAGCTGTAATGAAAGAGAATTTATATTTCTGATGTATTTTGATATTATGGTTTTGAGCTATGGTTTTGATCTTATGCAGAGTTAAATATCGGATATCGGCTTCAAAGAGTCCATATCGTCCCATTACTACTTTTTTTTTGTATAAATGTGTCTCTGTTCGACAAACTGTTATGGTGGACAGTGAGTTTTTGGAATGGAAGTACTTTAAAGTATTTTGAAGTACTTGGAAGTACTTTGTCTGAGTGTGAGTCTGTGGTGTTGTGTACCGTCGGGGAAAGACGCCACCGGGAGCAGCATGGGAATGTTCTCGGTGTAATCTGTACTTTTTGGATTCATGGAAACACACTGACTTTGCTAACGATCACGGAGAAATGCTACACACTAAAACACACACACAGTTATACACACACACACACTACACACGTTAGATCAGACAGTAGAAATAATGGACCGGAAACAATAGTAATGCTTCTGTCAAAATACATTCATAATTTCAACAGATAAATGTGAAAACAAATCCACAAATGAGCCCACACCATAAATACACTTTTGTAATTTCAGCCCACGACAAAAACGGGTTCGACATCTCTGGTTTAGAGCAAAAATCAGGGACCCCGATATTGCATTTGTAACAAAATATTTGAAAATCATGCCTAAATCTTCCTTGGTATTGGTGTGGACAACCTTATTAGGCCTCTTCTTAGTGGCTGTGAGATCCAAGTCCATAACTTTCTACTATCTAGGTTCAAATCCAATTCTAAAAGTTCAGACATATGTATTTACAAGAATGATTTTTCCTAATCTTTTTGGACAAACCTATCGCTGACCGTAATGCAAAGATTGTCCATCTCTGGTACAGCAGTATGCAGAGGTCAAATAGCTGTAGAAATGTCCAAAAAATGATGAAATATGAGGTCAAAATTGCTTGAATATAGTGGTTTTTTAATCTTATTTTGAGCACATTTAGTCTTATTTTAAAAAAAACTTTCAATTTTTTGAGACATTTCTTGAACCTTTTTAAAACAAGATAATTTTTCTTGTCCCATCGGCAATTTTTTCTTTTTTTTATCCAGTCAAAAATGTGCTTGAATTAAGATAAATTTTGCTAAATTTAAGCAATTTTGGACTCACTTTTCATCATTTTTTGTTGTGTAGAGTAGAAGTAGACGCGTTCTCACGTACAGAGGTGGTCCAATGCTTGCACTATGATCAGCCAAAGCGAGTGTTCGGCTTTAACGTTGTAACGATGTGTTTGTGTGTATCTGCGTGTGCTCAGTACGTTGCCCATGAAAGACCCGGTGGTGGACTGCGCCTCCCCGGTTTACCAGGCCGTGATCCGGCCGATTGAGGACCCTCAGGAGATGAGTGAGTGGGCTCGCCGCGCCGCCAACCTCCAGAGCAAGAGCTTCAGGATGCTGGCGCACATCACCGGCACGGAATACAGTACGTACAGACAAAAATATGAAGGAGAAGGTAGAACAGGGGTGATGTGGTTCTTCTACTCTGCAAAAAAAGGATAAAATATGAGGTGAATCTGAGACAACAGTCAAACATGATTCCACAATGGGACAAAGCCCTTCAGCCTTATTTCAAAAGCTTTATTTTCTTATTCCATGAGAGACATTTCTTGTATTTTTTTCAAAACAAGAAGCAATTAAGCTAAAAAATTTACCTTTTTTTTGATAACTTTTTTTTCATCACTTTTTGCAGTGTAGGGAATTGTTAGATAGCAATACCTTATATTTGTTAGTAGCTTGTTTTGTCTCATACAGAAGAAGCAAATAACTGATTCAGATTCAGTGTATTTTCCATTTGCAGTAAAACCACATTGGAATACATTTGCAAAAGTCCCCAGTGTGCACCAGACAAGTACATAAATAACAAGTCCAGTCTTGACCTGGAGACTTGCACCTGTGGACTGCCCCGCCCGACCCGCCTGGGAGTGCTCCAGTCCTGCACCTGACCTGTCCACGTTCAGCGGCCACTGGTCCACGTCCTGTAGCTTAGGTCCTGGATCTATAGCCCGTCTGTCCGTGGGAGCGGATGCCTTTCTCAAACCATGGGTCTCCCCGAGGTTTTTCTTTGCCGATGCAGGAGGGTCTGTTGGGCAGTTAGTGTCGAACTAGAAGGACTGTGCTGATGATCCAGGACACTTTAACATTCTACAACATGTACGGACATTTATCAACACGTGTTCTATATTCTTTATGTGTTTTAACGGTTGATTCTCTGATCTGTGTTGGTGATTTCAATGGTTTTGTTAAGTCTCTGAGATGATACTGTTGTGATTTAGGGCTATACAAGAATAAATTGTATTGTATTGAGGAAATGTGTCTGGGTGGAATAAATTTATATTTAAGTACAATTGACCTTTTGATGTTTTCATTTGAACAGTGCAAGATCCAGATGAGGAGGCTCTGCAGAGGTCGAGGTGAGACTACTTTTATTATCATCATTAGTAGTAGTAGTAGTAGTAGTAGTAGTAGTAGTAGTAGTAGTAGTAGTAGTAGTAGTAGTAGTAGTAGTAGTAGTAGTAGTAGTAGTAGTAGTAGTAGTAGTAGTAGTAGTAGTAGTAGTAGTAGTAGTAGTAGTAGTAGTAGTAGTATTACTACTTATTACTTATTGGGTGGCACGGTGGCTGAGTGGATAGCACTCTCGCCTCTCAGCAAGAAGGTCCTGGGTTCGAATCCCGGTTGGACCAGGGCCTTTCTGAGTGGAGTTTGCATGTTCTCCCCGTGTCTGCGTAGGTTTCCTCCGTGTGCTCCGGTTTCCCCTACCACTAAAAATATGTACAATAGGTCTGGCATGTGCCTCCTGTACTGGCACCCCCACCCAACAATTGTAAACCGCTTTGAGACTCCGATGTGCAGTGAAAAGGCGGTATATAAATAAAAGCTTACTTACTAAAAAATAAAAGCTTACTACTTATTATAACTTTATTACTAACTGCTGTTTTTGGAAGTACTTTGGAAGTACTACATTTTCACATTCATTTTGGCTCTTACAAACACATGCTGGTGAAAACTAGAGATAGAGCCAAACTGTTTGAGCGCAAGATACAATTTTTTTTTTTTTTTTTTTGTAATTCTTCAGGGATCAAAAACAAAAAAAAACCGAAATAACCCCCCCCCCCGACATTTTAAAGAACAAATGAACCTTTATGAATCGGCCAGAAACTAGCCAGACGGGTTGCATTACATCGTTAAATTGCGGTTTGAAAGTTATGTATCCCAGCTTTAAAAAACGAATAGATATAAGCTTTCTGACCTGTTTTTGTTTTTGTTTTGTTTTTATTCTTTGCAGAGACAAGTTTGAGTCCGAGGTGAAGGGCCCACGCTTTGCCAAACTGAAGAACTGGCACCACGGCCTGTCGGCACAGATCCTCAACATCCAGGAGTAGAACCCGCAACCTCTGACCCCCAGCAACACACCCCACACAACACACAAGCCGTAGACACACACCGCAATGGACACAAAACTGCCGACTATTAACAAATGTTTAAATTATGGAGAAAAAGGAAGAGGAAGACGACTTGTGAATGTGACGTATAGAATTTTTAGCCGTAGTTGATTTTAGTCGAATGTTTAGTCCTTAGTGTGAGAATGCTCCGTGTTTATAAGCCACAATATTTACTGTATCGTCTGCTGCTAAGAAGATTTTGCATTTTGCGTGTTTTCTTGTTGTTGTTTTTGTTTGTTTGTGCGTGTCCTTCTCTCTCGGACAGACGAGAAATTGTATAAAAAATACAAAGCGAAAGCAAAGTGGCTCCCGGTAACAAACGTACAGTATGTGATGACTATGTTATTGCCCACGAACGAATCAATGAACGTGTAAAAAAATGCACTGAGAATGTACTGATATCAATGTGAATACGTGTAAATTATTAAAAATGACAAAACTCCCGAACATGTGTGTGACTGTCATGTACGTCATGTTATAGAGGCAAGGCGAGTTTATTTGTGTAGCACCGTTCACACTTTACGAGGCAACTCAAAGTGCTGAATGAAACAAGAAAAATTGTATATGATTACAGTTTATAAAAGAGGGTCTCTCTGCTCTTTCTCACTGGTCTCCCCCTGGTCTCTCTCTCTCTCTGGTCTCCCTATGGTCCCTTTATGGTCCCTCTCTGGTCTCTCTGTGGTCTCTCTCTGGTCTTTCTCTGTGGTATCTCTCTTTATGGTCCCTTTATGGTCTCTTGATGGTCTCTCTATGGTCTCTCTCTGATCTCTCTATGGTCTCTCTATGGTCTCTCTCTGGTCTCTCTATGGTCTCTCTCTGGTCTCTCTATGGTCTCTCTATGGTCTCTCTCCGGTCTTTCTCTGTGGTCTCTCTCTACCTCTGGTCTCTCTCTTTATGGTCCCTTTATGGTCTCTTGATGGTCTCTCTTTGGTCTCTCTCTGGTCTCTCTTCAGTTGTATGCAGCTAAACAGAACCCTTTTTAATCTGGATTTGATCGCTGTCATATTAAAAGCCTGTCTCACATTCTCAGGAAGACAGTTCCAGGTTTTAGCAGCATGAATCTGAAATGTTGCCTCCTCATGTTTAGCCCTGACTCTGGGCTCCAGCAGGAGGGCAGTCCCTGTGCTCCTCAGAGTCACCAGCAGGAGGGCAGTCCCTGTGCTCCTCAGAGTCACCAGCAGGAGGCCAGTCCCTGTGCTCCTCAGAGTCACCAGCAGGAGGCCAGTCCCTGTGCTCCTCAGAGTCCCAGTTGCTTCATATGACACAAACATGTCACAGATGTACTTGTAATCACGCAGATCTGCTTTAAGAAAAGGATTAAAGAGTTTGTTTTAATATCATGAGAAAAATATAGTAATGTAGTATAGGCACATTTACGATTTCAAGTTTATTTTTATACTCAATTAAAACACACAACATTTTTTTTACATTCATAGTGAGTGTGTATAAAATGTTTATACTAATAGCACCTTTTTGATTAGCTAATTTATTTGTCTTTTTCTTATAACTGGTAGCATGTAGTTGCTTTTTTGACCCCGTAGATGGCCCTATACAACTTCTGTATTGTCAGTTTCTTTATTATTATGACTTTTATCATTAGAATAGCTCAATAGTTATGTTTTAAATCACTTTTACAGCGCTGTGTCTTCATGACTGTTCTCCAGCCCAGGACCTTTTTGCGCTGACCCCTCCTCTCATCGTCCTGAAACAACACATCCACATGCTTTTGTAGTTTCATCTGTTTTATTAATACAACTAGAGTGTTGAAAAATGACAGACATTGTAAGAGGAGGCTACATACAATCATTTAAAAAAAACATTCTTCATACATGTGTTCAACGGCGACACAACAGAAACACTGCAAAAAGTGATAAAAAAATAAGTCAAAAAATGCTATTGTTTTAAAAATACAATATATAAGAAATGTCTCCCTTATAGGAATGAGAAAATAAAGCTACAAATCTTGAAATAACACTTAATTGTTTGATCCCATTGGCACATCTTGTTTTAACACAGTCAGAATGTGCTCAAATTAAGATAAAAAACACTAAATTCAAGCAATTATGACCTCATTATTTATCATTTTTTGCAGTGTAGGACATTCATACACAAACTGAAGGGAAGTGAGACTGCTGCATGGTCACGAGGAGACATATCACATTCATTAAAAAAGTAAAAAAAAAAAAAAAACAGTTTAGTTTGAAAATATTATTAAGAATGTATTTTTTGACATTTGGCAAACCAACAAACCCAGTCCAAAATCGAATTAGTGGTGAACTCTCGAGCAAATCCTTGCCCGGTGGATCTCTCCGTTCAGCTGCTGTTTATTTAGTTCAATGTTCAAAATCAAAACCAAAGCATTTAGCAATTCGACATTTAGTTCAGGAATATTTGAGGCTTTGAGTCCAGTCTAATACATTTGACAGGTTTTTAATTGTTATTATGTGTTTATTATCATTAATAGACAGTGGTCATTGCTCCCTATGGACCTTTGTGTTTGCCATTACTGCATTTCCTGATTTGATTCTCTGATCTGTTGTTGTTGAGTCCTCTGTGACGACCGCTGTTGTCATTTAGGGCTAAACAAACATACATTGAATTGAATTTGAATATTACAGCATTACAGGCAGACTCAGAGTATTTCTTGAATTTCTGCTGTGCTTCCATCATTCTTATACTTATTTAATGCTAATTCAGATTCCTATACAAGTCCGATTTTGATAACAGCTAACATGGCTGTATGAACCACCTGTAAGATACACACACACACACACACACACACACACACACATTTTAGGCTTGAACACAGACGCACACACAATGCAAATGTCCCCAATATTGTCTGTTCTTTGCTGCGTCCTTCTTGCATTAGTTTGTATGTCTGCTCTTGTATTATATGTCTAGATTTTTGCCAATAAGATACATCATTTTAAATCGAATAGTTCATTTGCACAAACAGATAAGTGGCATTAGAAAAACATTTGAAAGGCTTATCTCTTTACCAAGACATTTTTTTAGTGCCATACAAAAAAAGTTTTGCTCCTTCTTGAGTCAAAACATAGTGAAGATTGTAGCTTGAAGAATAAAACTTTTTGACAAATGTTCAAAACAGAGATATTTGTTTTTGCGAATGAACTCTTCATACATCCCAACAATAACTAAACAATCCTTGGGTTGCACTCACACACACACACATACACACACGCGCGCACGCACAACCAAACGAAGGCTACACTGTTGAGCACAATCTGTAACAATTGCAAAGTCGACACATACTTTTGACTTTTAAAGAGATCCCTTCATTAAAATAATCAATCAAAACACAATTCATTTCACAGATTTTCTTGTAAAATACTTGGAAAAACATGTACAAAAACTGTTCAAAAATTCCAAAAAACCAAAACCTATTAGTGATCCTAGTAGATGCTACGTGGGGTCAAAGTGTCTGGCACAGTGCACTGCGTGGTAAATAAATAGTGACGTTTTATAAATTAAGGATTCCTGAGCTCAGACTTTGTAGCACCAATCAAAAAAAAAAAAACGAGCACCGAAAATATGAACCGCGAGGGCCCCGGGTTCCGCAAAGAGGCCGAGGGTTAAGGATTTTTCAGGAGTTTTTAGTGCAAAACAAGAGCGGCTTCGTGAAAAAAAACCACACGGTCCCTTTTAGTCCAAGTCCAAATCCGAGTCCAAGTCCAAGTGGATCGGGTCTCAGCTGTATTTGATGTTGATGAGACAAGGCTTCGGTAGCGGGACCGGGTGTTTGGGGCTGGACCTGCAACACAATCATAGTTCAATCAATATATCTTTATTTGTAGGCAACACAAAGCCCCTAACAACCCATATCATATCAGGCAAAAAACATAAACTCTTAAAATTAAAATCTACATGAACATAAAAAATATGATCGAAAACAAAGGTTAAACTAAAATTATGTAATTAAAAATCTTAAAAAATTGAAATGACACATGGGAGAACAGTGAAGTAGCCACAGTGCATTAAAAATAGAAAATATCGGCTTCCTTCCTTGTGATGTCGCAAAGTCTGTATACTGGGGGCCACAATGGTGATGGAGGGCCCTATAGCTTTTTAGTAAGTAAGTAAGCAGCGTTGGGTACTTTGCGTATGGAAGACTCGCCTGTTTGTGTGCGGCGTGGGTCGAAGAGGCCGCGGTCCTTCAGTATTTACCCCAAACGCAGCAGAGTGTCCCGGGACAGAGGAGGCGCCGGAGGAGGGGGCCTGGTTCACTGAGGGGCCCCTGATCAGACGCACTCCTCGGGGGTCCGCAGGGAGAGGCTTCTGCGGAGGACTGGGCTTCTCCAACTCCTACAGAAAACAGAGAGAATGCAGTGACGTCACTTCTCCACCAGGAGGCAGTATACACCTGTGTTCACCAGTCTCTGTGTCGTGTGAATCTTTAGGTGAAGGTTAAGGCTCCTTTTTTAATACAAAAGAGAAACACTCTTTACTTTATTAAAGCTTTGTTACTTGATTAAATCGAATTGTTTTCACCAACCTTTGACTGGGACCAGAGACAGATCTAACCGGCTAATACTCCTATGGGCCATGCCATTCTCAGTAAAACCACTGATAATCCATTTATAGATACTCCAGACCCAATTTTTTAGACCTGTTTTGAAATGGTGTTTCCACCGGGGACAACAGTGGGAAAAGTTGCCGTGTTGTTTGGACCCGTGTCGACTTTTCACTACAGGGAATACAGGAAAGCGTATTCCCGTTCTGACTCCTGACTTTCAAAAGAAGTCTTTCAAAGTCACAATGATGCAAGGACCAAAGGGAATCGCAAAATAATGGACTACCCTTCTTCACCTAAGCCACACCTAAGCAACAAGCTATAAAACTGTTTGGTATCTATCGCAATTACATTTTTTGTCAATTATTTATTATCTATTAGATCATGTTTGATGTGTGCAATCTGAGTTTTCACATGTCCTCCTTTTACTCTGCTGTAATGTGCACCGATAATATTAAAATCTCCCCACTGAGGGATGAAAAAAAGGCTTATCATATCTGATCTTGTTTGGCCAAAAGACTAGGTCAAAAGGCGGATTAAATTCCGAGTCATTTCAACACGCCAGCTCGAGTCACACAGTCTGTAAGAAAGAGGGGATTCAGGGTTACTGCTCAGTGGGATTGACCTCTCTGGACCCTTTCTGATTTGGACACGATTTCTGGACGGCTTCTCGGACAACACAAGTTCACGAGTCCCGGTTTTCTCAGATGTTTTTGATGCGTGCTGGGGTCATCTCCGACTGGCCTCTTGTATCTGCTCCATCTGTTTTCTGTTGACTTGAATGAACTCATCCTGCAGCCTCACACCCCAAACACATGAATGAAACCAACGGACGGCAGTGACCCTTTTAACGAGCTGTCGGGTTAATGCCTGGTTTATTGACTTTACTCCAACGACATCACAAGTTATAGACTCGATGCCAGGAGAAAAGTGCATTAAACCATCGATAAAAAGTACTTCTATATACTTTTCTATATTCTATGTATCTTTTAGAGTAGAGACGGGGTTGGACTCATCATTAAAAGTGATTTAATTTACAAAAAAACAAACAAAAGCAAGGGTTGATGTTTATCTCTAACAAAGGACAAAAACTGGTCATCAAAATTTGAGTGTGTACTATTATTATTATTATTATTTCCCCCTCCCTTCTACCCTTTGGTCGTCTATATCTAAGTGTATGTCCATGTTTGACTATTTATTAGAGTATAAGAAAGTATTATATGTACAGTATGCATGTTTAATGTATAGTATGCTTATGGGTAAAATTGCTATTCAATTTGCTACTAATAATGTTTTTTGCTATTACTACTACTACTGCAGCTTTGGTTAGTAATGCCACTACTAATTTTGCTACTATTAGTACTACTGCTACAATTACTTTGGCGACTACATTAGCTTGCACGGTTCACGGAGATACTACTACTACTGCGACTACGACTACGACTACTACTACAATTTCTGCTTTTGTTAGTACTACTATTACTTTAAATACTATTCTATCGCTGCCATCACTCACACTACAGCTGTTGGCAACATTATGCTTATTAGAAAATTAGACAATAAATAAATGTAGTAGTAGTAGTAGTAGTAGTAAGTATAGAAGCTTAAATATAAAAAAAGTTGATGCATATCTATTAACCTCCATCTGCTAAACACCTGTGGAGCAATAAAACAACATTAAACTAGTCCAGGTGCAAGTTCTTACCACTTTAAAGACATTTGTGGAAATCTATGACACAATTTTCCCATTTGCTAACGTCTGACCTCGTTCCTTAGTTCCACAAATTGCTGCGGTAATCTTCCTGTCATCTTATTAAAACCATTGTGACGTTTTGGTTTAGAAACACCAGACACAATTTTTCCAAAGAGTTCCAGATTTTGAGCTCGTCAGGGGAAAGCTTTTGTACGTGTCGCCCAGAACGGAGCACCGACCGTGGCGAGGAGGAGTGAAAAAGTCCTGAAGCTACAACCAGCTGTGCAGGGGGAAAAAAGGACCATAAAGCCGCAATAGCTCACATGGTTCTCAACTGTAAGGGATAGTTTGATTATCATTATATTTCATGTACTCTAGTGAGGTTTTACTGCAAATGTCACAAAAAAAATGAATCTGAATTATTAATTTTACTGTATGTAAGTGATAAAGGCGAAGAGTTTGGAAAGGCTACAAACACAGCAAGTTCCCATTTCAACATATTTACAAGCGGTTTCCAAGCGGTTTTCCATTGGTTGCCAAGCGGTTGCCAAGCGGTTTTCAAGTGGTTTTCCATTGGTTGCCAAGCGGTTGCCAAGTGGTTGCTAAGCGGTTTTCCATTGGTTGCCAAGCGGTTGCCAAGCGGTTTTCAAGTGGTTTTCCATTGGTTGCCAAGCGGTTGCCAAGTGGTTGCTAAGCGGTTTTCCATCGGTTGCCAAGCGGTTGCCAAGCGGTTGCCAAGCGGTTGCCAAGCGGTTGCCAAGGGGTTACCATGCGGTTGCCAAGCGGTTTCCAAGCGGTTGCCAAGCGACTAACTTTGAACATGTACATTGAAATGGATAGAGGGAGGTAAATGTTCAACTAAAAGCTGCCAATTTGACTGCTCTTGGAGTTGTAGCGTTAAGCTAACAAGGCGTTTCAAAAAGTTTCCATGTCCTTTTCTTTTTCACAGTTTTTTTTTTCTTTCTTTGTTTTTGTAATCACTTGCCATGGAACAGCCTCTCTCCACATGAAACCATTATTTTTAGTAGCTTTGCTGAGCTCTGCATGTTAATGTATTTGTAAAATGTGTTTTTTCCTTCCAGAAAGTATTCTTGTAATCACAAGATGTTGGAGACTAAATTAGCCAGCTACTCATTGTCTGAAAAAATCATTGAAAACAGTTGGAGAGCCACGTGAGTCATAATTTGACCCTTTAGGCTAGGCACTAATTAGTTGCGAGTGGTTACCTATCAACAATCCAGTAAACATTCACATTTGTGTTATTTATGTTATTAAACGTTTGGATCTGCTTCAACAGAAGACAAAGTTCTTAGCATAAGACACAGAAGCCCCATTTCCACCAGCCCTACTTAGCCCTACTCTACTCTACTCTGTGATTATATCCAGGCCAAATTAATACTGAATTTTAAAAACTGACAGAGCTGGCAAGAGCTCTGGTGTGTGTCGTCTGGTGCACACTGGGGTAGTCTTGCACAGTTTTTCCTATGTGGTTTTACTGCAAATGGCAAATAGATGAATCTGAATCTGAATCTGAGCTTGGCTAGAGTGCTGCTGTTAGCCATGGTCTGTAATTTGGAAAGAAAAAAATACCGCCTTAAATGACCTGTATTTGACCAAACAGAGACCTCCGGTGATAATACTTATCCTGTGTGAATCGCCGCCTTTTCTACTTATCTACTTTCTGCTCTGTTTTGTGTAAATAACATTCTGGCTCGAACAATGGAGGATGCAGTAGACGTTTTGATTCACAAATTTGACAGGCAAATTATAATACGGCCCCAAATTGCATAGCATGGACAGCGATCGGCAGGAACGATAAGAGATCCAAGAAGAAGAAGAGACAATTCTACCAGAATGTTGGCCTGGACGACATGTTTTACAGCATGTGGTAAGAAAATATTTTAAATATCACAACAAAACTGTGAGCAGATGTAATATATATGTAATAATATCCTACTGTGATTTCAGGGAGAATAGAGTCATTCACAGACTTTGCTTTTTCCAGGTTAAAATAATACTCTGTGAATAGTGCTATAGTTTGAAATTCAAATGCCCAACTTAAAATAAATAAAAAAAAAACAGAAAAACTCACCATGACCATCCTGTGGCGAGGCACGCTTCTCACAGACACGCCCCTTAGCTGATGAGGAGGCGGAGCTCTGTGGGGAGGGGGCGGAGCTCTGTGGGGAGGGGGGTGGAGCTCTGCGTGGCGAGGAGGCGGAGCTCTGTGGGGAGGGGGGAGGGGCGGGCGGGGCTGGACGGGACCCGGAGACAGAGAGAGGGTGATGGACAGCGGGACGGGGGGACACTGGGGGAGTCTCCTCAAACTGTGGGATGGATATGGAGCAGGAGAGGACGCCGATTCAGGCTTAGGGAGAAAGGGAGAAATGTTTAGATTAGCAAAGGTACACACAGGCAAGGAAAGGGAAGTTTAATTATATGGCACAATTCATACACAAGCCATTGGGAATCAGTAAGCGTTGTTTGTTTTCCTATCAGTGCTGTTATGACCAGTGTTTTTGCTGTTGTTGTAAATAATGTACACTTTTTCCTTCATCTCCAAAAGATTATTCTATTTTTTTTGTCGTGAAGCAAAAAGCTGACAGCTAAATATAAAACCAGGCTGTGACCTTATTTACCTGTCATAACTCTATACTGTATGTCGCTAAAAATAGTGTGGAGTGTGCGTTCAGTTGATGTCTTGTTTTCTAGCCGTCTCTGGGGATTCTTGACATCAGCATACGAAACGAAATGAGAAAAGTTTTGACATTGAGATTTTTGATCCGTTGGTAGAAAAGTCAGAAACGTTTGACGGAAAACTACACTAGAGCTACAATGCTCTGACTTCCACTTCTGAATAAGAGAGTCAAATTCTGTCATCGCGGTAAAGCTAATAGCGATTGGAATGCTAACGGCACAGTTCCTGGTTATCAGACACTGCCACAGTGTCCACAGCTGCCATAGAGGACTTCAATCTGTCATAGATGTTGGAAAGAACTGGGGAATGGAGACTTCTAAGCGGGTCCGAAGGGGAGATTCTGTTATGGTAGAGTAAGGGTCGGATTTTTGGTGTTTTCCTTCATAATCTCTGAAATATGGCACATCAAATATCTCTGCACTGGCTTCTTGTGGCTCAGAGAATAGACTTTAAAGCAGCTCTGTTTGTCTACAAGTCTCTCCATGGCCTTGCACTAAAGGGACTCTGAGGAGCACAGGGACTGGCCTCCTGCTGGGACTCTGAGGACAACAGGGACTAGGCCTTGCGTATAGACTGTATAAATACATTTGCCTTGCCTAGACCTTCAGTGGGAAAAGAACTTCTGTATTCAGGCATTGCTAGTTTGTTTGCGGGGAAACTAAGCGAGCCCAGTTGTAAATACCAAAATATCCACTGAATCTTTCTGAGTTAAACCAGTCACACGAGACCAAAACCACTGACTTGACTGACGAACCTCGGTCTTGTATCGGTCTCCTCTCGGCTCAGCGCTGGAGGTCGTCCCAGGTGCATTAAATCAAACGCTCGCTGCACTTTTGACTGACCTTTTTTATGTGAAATACAGCTTCAGCTCCCGTCTTTGCTCAGTCAAACCGGACAGATGTAGACCCCCCCCCCCCCCCCCCCACACACACACACACACACACACACACACACTAACGCAACCTGACAAGCCTCTCTGTGCACAGCATTCATTACAATAACAAAAGAGATTGGTTTTGTTTATGCTGTCGGCCTCTCATTCCATTTTCAGAAACTAAATGAGACATTTTTACTTTTTTTTTATTTCAGGCAGGCTTTGTGCATGTTCGGATGTGTTATTGTTCCCCAGTAATAATAGGACAAACTAGCCCCCCGGTCAGAAACTTTGGGACTGCATCATTTGAGAGACTATTTTATTTTTATTATTGTTTGGGAGAAAATGTCAGTTTATATGAGACTAAACAAGAAAAGTTTAATGTTTGAATGTCAGTTTTGAAATAGATTTGTAATCTAGACACATTTGGATAGTTAGAGATGTTGTACTTTCTTCTTTATTATGATAAAGTTGGAGATTTTAATTTATTTTAGTTAGAGTTATTGAGTTATTGATAGTTATTGATAGAGTTATTGTTCATTTATCTTCCCCACTGTGCAACAAATAAAGGATTTCTTAATCCCAATCTCTTAATCTTAAAAATAGACCTTTTGAACGATATTTTAGTCCAGATTAGAAAAGAAACCCTACTTGTGATCTTGAACTATAGTCAACAAGGAAACCCCAGCCACAAGTAGACTATGCAATTTTTTCACAGTTATTTCACAAAAACCCTGTACGGAGCCAAGCTAGCCTACGCGGCATGCATCCTGCCAAAAGTCTGGGAGGCATTAGGACCCTGCCAGATGTGATCTCCTCCATTACCATTCCGTCATATTTCAACACAGCACCCTCCAGATGAACAATGACCTCACCTGCACTCCCCTTTCATCACCTCTCGTCCTCTCTCTTCTTCTCTCCTCTCCTCTCTCTCTCCTCTTCCTCTCCTCTCTCTTCCTCTCCTCTCTCTTCTTCTCTCCTCTCCTCTCCCCTTTACCCCTATCTCTCTCTTTACCTCTCTATCTCCTCTTTCCTTTTCTCACCTCTCCCCTTCCTTTCTCTCCTCTCCTCTCTTCTCCCCTCCCTCTCCTCTCCTCTTTCTTTCTTCTTTTCCTCTCTCTCACCTCTCCTCTTCTCCTCTCCCCTCCTCTCCCCTCTTTTCTCCTCTCCCTCTGCTCCCCTCTCCTCTCTCCTCTCCTCACCTCTTTCCTCTCCTCTATTCACCTCTCCCCTTTCCTATTCCTCTCCTCTCTCTCCCCTCTCCTCTCTCTCTCCTCTCCTCACCTCCACTGCTGCCAAATCAAAACCACATGCCCTAAACTAGAAGTCGTTGCTAGCCCCCCCCCCCCCTCCACTGCCACCTCCAGGGCACCAAATGTCAGAGAGAGACAGAGTTACTCGTTGGGCCAATCCATCACAGGTCACCTCCCATTACTAAGATAGAATAGTTAGCATGACACGTACAGCTTTCAACTTACAGCAAAGTGTTTGCTGTAAAAAAACACTTACTTTGCTGTAAGTTGAAAGCTGTTTATTCAAGGATTTAAATAAACAGCTATAATACTGTATAACCCTATGTCTATGCAAAAAGTATTAATTTAAGTGTATTTGTTAAAATCTAATTCCTTTGGCGAGCAATCTGTGAGGGGCTGGCGAGCTACTGGTGGCTCTTGAGCTACAAGTTGGAGATCCTTGATATAAATGGACAATGCTAAACCGCTAGCTCAATGAAGCCCAATATGGAAGTGCTCATGGCTAAAGTTTTACTACTAATCGCTCTGGTTCCTTTTGACATACATTGAAACGTAAACTGATCTTGCTCAGTAACCGTTTGGGTCTTATTTAAATAATACATATTATGCTTTATTTTTGGGCAATAAAATTGATATTTTACTTATGTTTCAGAATGAGAAATAATATTTAAGTTGTAGTAGTAGTTTCCAAATATCTCTGGCTGTGATTGGCTGAGTGAGTGTGGTCCTCTCCCTTTGATACATTTGTGTCTGAAAAAGCAGATCTAAAGATGTGACAGAGACTAAAAAATTTATAGATACAAAACTAAAGGAACCAAACGGATTTGAGAGCGACAATTTTCTTACCTTACATAGTTCCAGTTCCAGTTTTTTGTAGTTAGTTAGGAAGTTCTGAACCCCAGCTTTAATTCAAGCCAATGTTTATGATATGCTATTTACTGATAATCTGAAATGTCCTCAAACCAGTTAAACATGCACGGATAGCTTTAGGGAAAAAAATACAACTCAAACGTGGTCAAAAGCTGCAAAAAAAAGCCCTGCAGTCAAATTGTGCCCTCTGAGTTTTTAGATGTTATTTTTGTGCAATGAAATGCAACTTTAGCCTCGAACGTGCAATCAGAAGGACAGTTCACAAATATCAGACTCACTGTGTGGGTTCTGTGGTCCTCTATTTTATTTATTTGAGGTTTTTATTTATTGTTTTAATTGTATTTTAATTGATTGCATATAATTTAATTGATTTTATTTGATTTTAATTTATTGTATTTAAATTAATAGATTTTATTTAATTTCAAATTATTTAATTTCATTTTCATTTAATTGATTTTATTTTCATTTAATTGATTTTATTTCATTTAATTTATTTTATTTCATTTTAATTGATTTTATTCATAGCTGGCACATTTGTATATTTTAATGTGTTACTTTTATCTGTCCAGCACTTTGGAAAATGTATAAAATGTGCTATATAAATAAAGTGGATCGGAATGGATTGGAAGACGGTAACATCACACATCCATTTGGTTTTGCAACAGGCTGCAGCCATAACGACAAAGTGGGATACCGGGACACACTGCGATAACCTAATTGGATTTGAAGGAGTTGGCGAGTGTGCAAGTCGATTCTACAGAGGGTAATTTGGAGTTGGAATACAGCTGAGGTCCAAGACTGGAGGCAGGTCCAAGAACCGCTCCCAAACTGCCAATGTTTCAAACACAAAAGTTGCATAATAGTGGACTCTGGCGAATAGTTGCAGTACAGGCGTGTTTGCAAACTTTACTGTACGAAACGCAATAAAAATGAAATTGTTAAGCTAAAGTGGAGATTCAGACTACAAGACTGGAGAAACTATGTGTACACAAGCTCACTGCTATCAGTCCTCCCCCTGCTGCTGCCTCAAGCTTTCTTATCGTACAGAGAGATTACATTAGTGCAGCAACCCTCCTCCTCCCCATCACTGCCTCGCCATTCAGACCAGCTCTTCAAACCTTCTCTCAGCTAACACCACTAGGGTCTATAGTACCCCGGGGGGATTTAATCTCATTATCTCTATTTGCAATTCTCCTTCTGCATTCGTCACAGTGCTCTGCCGGGGTCTAAGCGCCAAATTAAAACCACAATCCACACAGTACAGTTCATTGAAATAGATGCAGAAGCAAAATATGATGCCCATCTTGTCATGGGTCTTGCTGCCTGCACAGAGGAATAGATAATTAGGTGTTTAACCGTTTCTTTCGTACCAGTACTCATTCGCCGCTCTATTTTGACTACATAAACTTGATGGAGTCTATATAATAAGGCCATGACTCTACCACAATATAGAAGCCGCAGGGAAGTATAGGAAAAGTAGCAATTTATAGGCCGGAAAATACAGTAATAATGATTTACAGCATAATTCAGATTTCTATAACAGCAGAAAAGCATTTAATTCTTGCCTATAACATCTGCAGAGACTATGTGCTAGTTTGAATATATAGAGATAGATAGATAGATAGATACTTTATTGATTCCGGTCGGAGAAATTCAGGTGTCCAGTAGCAGCAAAAAGACATCCATCCACACAAACAAAACAAATAAAATGTATAATTCTAAAAAGCTAACAGTAGTAATAATAATAAACAGCGCTTCATGTCACAGCAGCAGATGTGGGCCATCTTCTGTGGGTGGAACTGGACAGGCCCCAGCAGCAGAGGCGGTTTATGTAGCGACGGATCACATGCCAACCAATAAATATGAATTATACAAGCCCCCTTATGTGTGTTTGAGTCTCTCCAGATTGAAGAGCACCTTTGATACAACATTTAGTCCCTGTGGGCCAGAATGTGCAGCTCAGGTCATTCTCTGCACAGACAAATTGTTTGTCCAAGTCCAATGTAAACAGTCGATGGATGGCACCAGACCCTATTCCACACGTGTACACAGGCCGGTGGCGGATTCATCATGTTGGTCCACCAGAACTCACCAAAATGCCTCCAAAATGTATTCAATCACAATATTCTTTTTCCCTGGGGTACCTAGCAGCTAAAATCTGGAACAGTCTTCCTGAAAATGTGAGACAGGCGACAATGTTCATATCCAGGTTATAAATTGTTCTGTTTAGCTGTGCATACTAATGAGGGATTTTATCTTTTATAATGTACAGTGATTATTTATTTACTTCCTCTGTGTATTAAAACCCTGTGCCCCTCTCCTCTTAATCTCAGTCCATTGTGCGGATGTATCTTTTCTAACCTGGATTTACATTTATTTATTTTTTTTATAGTTGTTTGTTTGCAGTCCTGCATTTGACCTCTCTGTTTATTCTGCATTCATGACAAACATGTACAGCTTTCTAATAGTTTAAAGACAGCGTTGGTCTAATTTGTTCACAAAATGTTACTTTCTGTGTGTTATTTCATGTATGTATGACAAAGAAAAGGCAGGTACCCCAGCTTTAAATACAGTCTTACATATCTTCTTCATGCTTGTTGTATGAGTGCGATACCTCGAAGATGGAGGAGGTCTGTGGCTTAGGAGGTCGAGAAGGAGAGACGGTGGAGGATGCAGGAGGCGCCGGATTAGGATTAGGATTCGCTCCACTCAAACCAGCGCTGACCGACCTGCCGAACAGAAAGATCATTTGTTTATACCATTCCTCAAGAATTTATACTACACTGCAAAAAATTAGGTAATAATTGCTTGAATTGAGGTTTTTTATCTTAATTTGAGTTCTGATTCTGATTTCCTTAAAACAAGATTTGCCAATGGGACAAAGCAAAATCAAGAGGAGGATAAAGACCAGAAAGGCACCAGGACCAGATAACATCAGCTCCAGGCTCCTTCGCTCCTGTGCAGACGAACTCTGTGGAGTGATGGAGCGCGTCTTCAACCTGAGCCTCAAGCTGAGGACGGTACCACAGCTCTGGAAGACCTCCTGTGTGGTACCGGCGCCAAGAAACCACGGGCCAAAGACCTCAGCAACTTCAGGCCAGTGGCTCTAACATCCCACTGCATGATGACACTGGAGAGACTGGTCCTGGGACATCTCCGCTCCACTCTGAGCCCAGCGATGGACCCGCTGCAGTTCGCCTACAGGCCGGGCATCGGAGTCGAGGACGCCATCATCTCCCTCTTCCATCGCTCCCTGTCCCACCTGGAGAAACTCGGCTCCACTGTGAGGATACTCTTCTTTGATTTCTCCAGTGCCTTCAACACCATCCAGCCGAGGCTTCTCAGGGACAAGATGGAGACAGCCGGTGTGGACTATGACCTGTCCCAGTGGATCCTGGACTACCTCACAAACAGACCCCAGTTTGTGAGAACCAGGGACTTTGTGTCTGAGGTCCTGACCTGCAGTGTGGGGGCCCCCCAGGGAACTGTCCTCGCGCCGTTCCTCTTCACCCTCTACACTGCGGACTTCAACACGGATGGTTGTGTTCTACAGAAGTTCTCTGACGACTCTGCCATCATCGGACTCAGCTCCGAGGACGATGACGCAGAGTACAGAGGAGTTATACAGGACTTTGTGGACTGGTGTCAGCGGAACCACCTCCTCATCAACGCGGGGAAGACAAAGGAGATGGTGGTGGATTTCCGCAGACGTCACTCTGCCGCTCCAACTCCAGTGAACATCCAGGGAAAGGACATCGAGAGAGTGGACTCTTACAAGTACCTGGGTGTTCATCTTAACCACAAACTGGACTGGACTCATAACACAGACGCCCTCTTCAAGAAGGGCCAGAGTCGCCTCTACCCACTGAGGAGGCTTAGGTCTTTTGGAGTGCAGGGGCCACTCCTGAAGACCTTCTATGACTCTGTGGTGGCATCAGCCATCTTGTACGGTGTGGTCTGCTGGAACAGCAGCATCACAGAGAGGGACAGGAAGAAGCTGGACAAGGTCATCCGGAAGTCCAGCTCAGTCCTGGGCTGTTCCTTGGGCACAGTGCAGCAGGTGGGGGACAGGAGGGTCCTGAGCAAACTAACATGTATGCTGGACCATGACTGTCACCCCCTGCAGGACACTCTCTCTGCTCTGGAGAGCAGCTTCAGTGACAGACTAATTCACCCTCGCTGTGTGAAGGAGAGGTTCCGTAGGTCTTTCCTTCCTGCTGCTGTCAGACTGTACAATAAGAACTGCTGAGCCTGTAAATTTCATTCATCTGTAATTAAGTAAATTCTTAAATCATGTGCAATGTGCAATACTGCAACTTCAGGATGTCACAGAACAATGTCACTTTACCTCATATCACTTTACTTATATACTTTTTATCCTGCACTATTTAACTGTACAGTATATAACTGCACTACCACATATATATTTTTTGACTGGTATTGAAGCTTTTTCAGCATCTACAGCTAGTTATGTTAGTTAAGAAACATAGCTACTACTTATTTGTATATAGTGTATATATTGTGTGTGCTCCCTGTGTGCTCTTACTACTGTCCTATATGTGCGATGCAACATCGAAATTTCCCCACTGTGGGACGAATAAAGGAATTCTTATCTTATCTTATCTTATCTTATTGACCAAATCCAAGCAATTTTTGACTTATTTTGTGTCACTTTTTGCAGTGTAAGAAAGTAATCTTTATTCATGTCCACAATGTTTTAGAATACATTTTTCCATACAAACATATTTTCTTCATATTTCATGTTGTTTCTACCCAGATGCAGTACACAGTATACTATACCCAACCCACAATATGTCCCTCACAGTAGAGTAGATAGTATAGTAGATAGTATAATAGGAAAAAATTAACTGGGCTAATTTGCGGTTTGTGGCGGCGGAGATAAAAATGTATCTTCATTACATATGCTCATTACGGCTCTCAGACTGTAATGCATATGCTAATGTAGAAATGACACAGATTACGCTGTGAAATTGAGCAGAGAGTGCGACCGAACGCAGAAATCTCCCACTCAGCATCTGTCAAATCCACAGTAAACACCGCTCTCAGACTGACGCAATGAGTAATTAGTATTTATGCTTTACACACATTTTTCCTCCACGCTGTCGATCTATGTTGTAGTATTGCTGCATTTTGTTTACACACCTGACCATTAGATTATATGGTTTTAGCCATTTTAACACTGGAACTACCTGAGCAGTCAGTTTGACAGCTTTGAATTTGGAAGTGTAATTACTTTTTTTGGTTTCTTTCTATGTCATTATTTTTATGAGATTGTATTATCTGTTAATCTTTAGTTCTACCTGGACGTCTCCATGGAAGTTAAAGCCCTGTTTCTTCAAGGACTGGTCTTGGACTGGTCCTGGTACAGCTTGGACCAAGACCAATTTGGTTGTTGCCGTATTTCAGTTATATTCACCAGTATTAGTACCTTTTAAAAGTGAGTAAAGGCAAAAAACCTAATAAATGTCTTACTTAAAACAATTCATGTTTGTAGGAATTTTCCAGAATTCCATTGATTTATTGGAACCGTCAAAATGACTGCTCTGGGAGTCCTAGTGTTAAGAAGGAAATACTTTTCTACACTCGTTGCTAGCGAGTGTGTGAAGCCATTGACTGCAAAATAAATTTGTTTTCATTTTAAAATTATAACATTACTGAGTCACACTGAGGAGATCACAAATGTGCAGTTTGTGCGAGGCGGTCCAGGAATAGCTTGAAGATTGCACCTGAGTTTCTCCAGAGGACCCTTGTTGTCGGTGAAGAGTAACCCAAGCAGAGACTTCCTCTTCAGGCAGAAAACCAGAGTAGCTCCCAGGAGCGAGAGAAGAGCCACCAGCACCAGGGCCATCACACTGCTGTGGTCTGAACACACAAGGAACACACGTACACAAAATTAACACACACAAGAAACACACCAGAAACACAAGGGGTTACTTTTAAAGCTGGGGTACCTAATTGTCAAAACCACAATCAATGGATTATATGTATCATAATTGTTTGGTTCAATGTCTAAGTTTAACGTTTTGGACGTCAGTGAATACAACACAACAAATACGATGTGGGTCTTTAAACCTGAGAGAAATCCTAGAAACTTTGAAGAACTGAAAAACAGCAGCTCTGAGGTCAGTGCAGAGACTACAGCAGCCCTGGGAGAGCTTTGATGCTGCAGTTTGGTCGTTGTGTGTTGAATTATGTTCAATTAGACCGAGAGCAGGAGGTTTGGGACACGTTCACGGCTGGAGGAGCACGAGGTCCTGACCGAGCACCAGCCGCAGCACCTGGAGATGATCCCAGGACACTGCCCCTGAGAGACCACCACTGCTGCTGCTGCTGCTGCTGCTGACGGCTTTCACTAGTGTCATTGAAGGATGGACATATGCATACTGTATGTTTTAGTCAACATGGAGGTCTAATGCTTGAGTACATCGGACTGGCAACTGATTATATCCGTCGCCTATGAGTTGCCGCCCCGCACACATAGTCAACTCCTAGTAGCAGACCAGTCTCGGGAATAACAGCGCGTACATCGACAGCAACTGGCCTCAACTACAGTGTGTTTTCTGACATAAATTGTAGAGGGCGCGCAATACACGCAATACACACATGTTGTTGGAGCGCGCACTTCGAGTGATATCTCCGGATCTGAGTACAACTAGTTGCCGAAAAGTAGAACACGGGCAACTGACTGAATCTGGAGACAGACTGTTCATCTCCAGTTGTAAGAGCGCTCACATCGACCGATTTCGGCAACTGATCATCTCCCATCATCTCCTCTCAGTTGCCAAAAGCCGCCTTGCAACTAGTTGTCTCCAGTTACTCTGTCGATGTACGCTAGGCTTAAGGAAATATCTACTGTGTCCTAGGTCTTCCCCTGGTCTCCTCCCAGTGAAGCGTCCAGAATGCACCCCAAACACCTGTCTCCTTTTGTTCCATAAAAAAGACATTGTGTTTGTTCCATTAGTCTCCATAAAAGTAAAAGGTTGTGAACAAAAATCAGACCAAAACCACGTTGTCTTCATCTCATCAGATTTGTGTATGTGTTTGTTTCACACCCTGTTCCGTCATGGTCAAATCCTGCCTTCAATCCGTCTTCCGGTTACTTTTTGTGTTGTCGCTGGATTTTCATTAGTAATCTATTTTTTAAAATCCGAAATTTTTTAGTAGTTCTGTGTTTTGGGATATTTTCCTTTTGCCTCCGTGACAAAAACAGTAGTATCTGAAAATACAGTGGATCACTCACAATCTTCACCTGTTGTACATGTTTTAGTGGTAGGAGAAACTAGAGGACCCAGAGGAAACAAAGGACACGGGGAGAACATGCAAACACTACATAGAAATGCCACCCTTTTTATATATACATTTTGCATATTTGACTATTTTAAGATAACTATAAGAATAGCTATAAATGAGCATTGGGTGGCAGGTCTGAAATGGAACAAATAAGGGGATGGAAAATGGTTGAATGAATGAATGAGCCACAACTGATAGATACAACTGAAATACGGTAAATAACAGTTTGTTGACATTAAGCGAGTTACCTGCGATTCGGATCGGGCCGCTGTCCACGCTGCCTCCAAACCCGGATTTATCACAGAAAGGAGGAGCCCAGTGTGCTTCGCAGTGGCAGTTCTTGTTGTTGTTACAAACCTGAAACATACAGCACACAATTCTATCAATTAACGGAAACCCTCCAAAACCAATTTATAAGTGATTTTCTGGGGAGAGCTGATTGGCTGAGTGAGGGTGGCATTCTCTGCACTGCGAAAAATAAGGTAATAAAAGCTTAAATCAAGTGTTTTTATCATTTTTGAGCACATTTTGACTTGTCTTGTCTTAAAAGACACATCTTCCTTGGAAGAAGTTGCAACAACACTAAATGGCTTGTTCCATTAGCAAGTCTTGTTTTATGACTGTATCCTTGACACACGCGTTTAACACCTTATATATAAATATATATTTTTTTGCAGGTCAGGACCACTAGGAGAAAACTAGTGGTAGAACTATAGACCCTAGCAACATGGATTGGTTTTGACCAGACCAGACCCCGCCCCAGAACAAGACCGGACCCAGAGCAAGAGCAGTCAGACCTGGGACAAGACTCGATCGAGACTCGGACCACAACCCAGACCAAGACCAAGACTAGACCTGGGACCAGGACTAGAGCTGAGCCAAGAGCCGACCAGGACCAAGACCAGACCAAGACCAGACCCAGATCAGACCCAGACCAGACCCAGACCAGACCAGACCCAAATCAAGACCAGATCTGGGACCAGGACCAGACCCAGACCAGAACAAAACCAAATCAATAACAAGACTTGGACCCAGACAAGACATGGGACTAGGACCAGACCTAGACCAAGACCAAATCTGGGACCAGTAGGTCTGGGAACACGATTTGGACCAAGACCCAAACCAAGACCCAACCGTAAAGACCAGAATTAAACCAAAACAAGACAAAACAAAACAAAGCAAGATTCAGACCAAGACCCAGACCAAGACCAGACCTGGGACTAGAACCAGACCTGAACCAAAGCAAGACCATGTTTCGGACCAAGAACCAAACCAAGACCTATCCTTGACCAATAAGACCGGAAATAAACCAAAAGAAGACCAAAATTTGGACCAAAATTTGGACCAAGATTTAGACCAAGATTTGGTCCAAGACCCAGACCAAGACCAGACTTTGACCAAGTGAGTAAGTAAGTAAGTAATCTTTATTCAGATACCGCCTTTCACAGACCAGAGTCACAAAGCGTTTTACAATTGTTATTATTTTTGGGCAATTGTCCTCTCACTCCACACAGAGATGGGAGCGGGGTCGCCAGTACAGATCTATTGTACATGTTTTTAGTGGTAGGGGAAACCGGAGTACCCGGAGGAAACCTACGCAGACAAGGGGAGAACATGCAAACTCCACTCAGAAAGGCCCTGGTCCGGCCGGGATTCGAACCCAGGACCTTCTTGCTGAGAGGCGAGAGTGCTGAGCCACCGTGCCGCCAAGACCAAGACCAAGACCAGAACTAAACCAAATCAAAACCAACACTCGGACCAAGACCAGACATGGAACTAGGACCAGACCTGAACCAAAACAAAACCCAAGACCCAGACCAAGACCAAGACCCAGACCAAGACCCAGACCAAGACCCAGACCAAGACCCAGACCAAGACCCAGACCAAGACCCAGACCAAGACCCAGACCAAGACCCGGACCAAGACCAGACCAGACCAGGACCAAGTTGATATTGTCTTTTGTATTTTGGAAACATAAACCAGATCAGCTTCCCTTTATGGTGAGAATAAAGACATATTTTCCGTCTCTCTCTTTGGGCTGATGCCTCTCCACACTCTCACAATCACTCAGGCTCGATGCAGAAGTGGAAGCTGGAGTCTAACTAATGATCCTGCAGCTAATAAACGCACACAAATAACAAATACAACTAATCACATCATTTCCGTCTCACATTTAGTCGACAGAGCGAACTGGAGCCAGATGTTTCTCTTCGGGAGCCTCTTCACTCCACGTGCGAAGAAAAGCATTGTTTGAATCATTCTCCACGGCTTTGGCTCCGGGACATTTTAAAACTTTTACAGTCTCTGTGTCTTGCAGAGAAAAGGACGAGTAAAAAAGAGGGGTTTTGAGTTGTGTGTGTGTAATAAAGAACAGGTGAAGGTGCTTTATTTTGGCAGATTGAGATAATTGTTGTGAGAAATGCGTTTAGGGACTTGATTCAATGTGGGACCATCAAGCTAAGCTAATCCTAAGAAGTTTGTGATTAGTAAATGTTGGTGCAAAAGGCTGTGGTCCATTTTTGTTTGATTCCAAATTGAAAATACAAGGGAAGGCTGTTTTTTTTCTCTATTTTCTACATTTATTGTGCATTTTTTACCAGGATCAGGCCCGAAACAAGACGACATCAAAACCCAGGGCAAAACTGGACAAGAAACCACATAGCTAGACAAGATCTGGAGTAATACCGGATCAAGACCCTTGACCAAGACCAGATGAAGGACCAGTACTGGACCTGGACTAAGAACCAGCCCAGGGGCAGGGACCAGACCTAGGACAGTACTAGACCCGGATCAAGACAGGCCTGGGACCAGTACCAGATCATATTAAGACTTGGATCAAGACCAGAACAGACCCCACCAAGTTGACCGGACCCAAGACAAGACCAGATCGAGACTCGTACCACGACCGAGACCAAGACCAGAACCAAGACTTGATCTGAGACCAGGACCAGACCTAAACCAAACCTTAACCAATATCAGACCTAAACCAAAACCAGACCAAGACTCAGATCAAGACCGGATCAAGACTAAGATTAAGACCTGGCCCCAACCCAGACCTGACCAAACCCAGGACCAGGACCAGATCTGGACAAAGATCAAACCCAGAACTGGACCAAGATAATATTGTCTTTTGTTTTTTAGCTTTTTGAGACCAAATGATTTCCAATCCATATTGTTACAGTAAAGTCCTAACATCAAATCAAATTCCAAGAACATAAACTATACCCGGGTGATTTTCTATGTATTATTATGTCATCGTTATACATTAAAAATCACATTGAAATATCAACAAGACATCATCACCACGCCACATTTCCAGCCCTCGCAGAACAGCCGCTGAAATCATTGTGAATTTATGGCAGGGAGCAGAGCGGCACATCACTCACGTCAGGACAGACCTCCCACTCTGACGTGACGCTTGACATTTGGGAGAAAATGCAATCTTCAGGCTCCACCACTCAAAGTCAGGCCCGGTGTCCCGCTCCGGTCCTTTCTGATGTGGCCTTTAGATCTTTGAGAGATGGATTTTGGGACAAGGAGAACCGCGAGTGAAGATGATGAATGGTGTTTAAGGCGCGACATAAACGAAGCAGTTAAAGCTAATTGATTGAGCCGTGTGCAGGGAAGGCTGATTGATAGCTTGAGGGGAGGGGGGGGGGGGGGGGGGGGTGTATGGACATATTTATAAAGGTATATGCGAGTCGTACGAATGATGAAAGTAGGAACAATCAGATGCTAATTGATTTTAAAAGTTGAAATTAGAGGGATTAAAGGGAAGATAATACAAACAACCAGAACGGAAAGCAAGACCATAATAATCTCCAGACCAAAACCAGACTCGGGCCAAAACCAGTACATATAATACTGCTATATATATAACGTATAATATCTGAAGGACTCACCCCTCGGCTGCTGCACTTGGCGGCACACTGATGAACGCCAAAGACACTCACGTTCTGACACTGGCGATTCAGACACATCTGAGACCAGAAGAAAAAATGTTACAATATGAAACAAAAAGAACAATTATAATAGTATAGCATGTGTCTTTTAACATTAATGAGCAGATATAATTGTATTGGTTAACATAATGTCTTTAAATAAAACTATAGCTAGTTCTAAAACACAACACGGTAAAGTGAAAGAGTGACTAAAACTTAACCACTTTGACGTCTTGGTTCGTGAGAGAAAGAATCTGCTGGAACGAGCTAAAGATACTCCCAGAAATATGTTTCCAAAAGTGTCAAAGCTGATCAGATTCTAGATTCATCTTCTGAATCTGCATCTGCTTTGTTTTATTCTCATGTGGAGTTTTACAACAGTGAGGCGCTAACGTCCAATACATTTATGGCACTATATTCTGTAACTATGTAAAAGTATTGATTCATTAATTAATGTTCTTCCCCCAATATTAGTCCATTAACGTAGTAAAACTAACCACGTTAAGGTTTCAATCACCGCAGTGGAAAGAACTACTGTATAGCTTCAATGACGGGTCACTGGTCTCGAGATTGTTGTGGTAGGAGTTAGTGGGGCTGATTTCAGATTCGTGCCCGTGGTAGAAGCCTGGAGCACAAGCACGCTGATGTTGGTGTGTGTTTACAGTCTATGCACTCCGCGAGCCGTAAGCCTACTTTGTTTTGTTTCCGGCCGTGCTACCGCTACATCCGGAGTAGTTAGCTCGGGCAAAAACATTAATTGTGCCATAAAAAAAAGGAATATGTTAAAATCACTTTGCTTTTACGTCGTTAATAACATGTTTAACTCACAGCACTAAACTGTACTATTACCTATTCAAAGATAACTCCCAGGAAGCAGCATTAGCTTATAGCAAGGGCCCCAAGCTATTCATTACCACGGATCATGTCTGTGCAGTAACATATAGAATAAAAATAAAAACCCAAAATAAGCACGATACCTGTATGTCTGCTAAAATAAAATAAAGTTTTTGAGCCTTCCTCTCACCATGCTGTTGCCACACTTGGTCCCGGTCAGCACCAGTCCCGGGTCTGGCATGTCGTCCCCCAGATAGACGTGGGTCCCTCGGCACAGGATGCGACCACCCTCCTGCAGGGGGATGTTGGTCTCTATGGAAACGGCGTTGGTGCCAATGACCGGACGGCTGGCTCCGCCCTGACACTGGATCTTCCCACATTTGGCGTCTCTGTGGCGCAGAGGAGCAGAGGAAACATGGAGGAGGATTTGAGATGAGAATTCAAAACAGCTGAAAGAGGAAGTGTAAAGATAATACATAACATGACAAGCTGTAGATCCAGGACTCATGAAATCAATGGAATTTTCCAGTTTTTAGTAAAAGTAAGTAATTTATACAGTTTTTTACTTTCTTTTAAAACGTGTAAAATATAACTCAGAAAAGGTTTGGTTAAATGCAACCAAATGCTAAAAGTATAGCGTATTGTGTGGCATGTCTGAGCAGTCTGTTACCTTCACTCGCACAGATAGTAAACATGTCCCTTAATTCTGGAATATTCCCAAAGGCCCTGAAAACTGCAGTCATCAGGCCCCTGCTAAAAAAGAGCAGTCTAGATGCTACGGTACTTAACAACTATCGTCCCATCTCAAATCTGCCATTTATGGGGAAAGTCCTTGAAAAAGTTGTCTACCTACAGCTTACTAGATTTCTTATAATCAACAACTCATTTGATATGTTTCAGTCCGGCTTTAGACCCCACCACAGCACTGAGACTGCTCTTGTCAAGGTTACAAATGATATCCGGCTGAACACTGACGCAGGCAAAGTCTCAATCTTAATCTTGTTAGATTTGAGTGCTGCCTTTGACACCGTCAACCATGAGATCCTCTTACAGAGACTAGAGGACTGGGTTGGCGTCACTGGCACCGCCCTAAGTTGGTTTAGGTCTTACCTTGAAGACAGGAAGTACTTTGTGGAGATTGGAAACTGTGTCTCAGATCATATGGCCCTGACCTGTGGAGTACCACAGGGGTCGATCCTGGGACCTCTTCTGTTCAATCTCTACATGCTGCCGTTAGGTCAGTTAATACGCAGAAACAAAGTTTCCTATCATAACTATGCAGACGACACTCAGATCTATGTCTCACTGACTGCAGGAGAACATGGACCAGTGGACTCACTCCTTCACTGTATCCAACAGCTCAGTGAGTGGATGCAAAACAACTTCCTTCAGCTAAACGCAGACAAAACTGAAATGATTGTCTTTGGTCCCCAGAAACAAAGAGAGAGCGTCATCTGTCACCTACAGTCTCTCTCCCTAAAACCTTCAAACAAGGTCAGATATCTAGGGGTAATACTGGACTCAGACTTAAATTTTAATAGCCACATCAAATCAGTAACATCAGCAGCTTTTTACCATCTAAAAAACATTTCCAGGATCAAAAACATAGTGTCTAAAGCAGACTTGGAGATTCTTATCCATGCATTTGTCTCCAGTAGGTTAGACTACTGCAATGGCCTGCTCACAGGTCTGTCCAAACAGGCTGTAAAACAGCTGCAGTACATTCAAAATGCAGCAGCTCGAGTCCTGACTAGAACCAGGAAGTACGACCACATTAGTCCAGTCCTCAGGTCTCTGCACTGGCTTCCTGTGGCAGCTCTGCTTGTGTACAAGTCTCTCCATGGCCTCGCACCAAAATATATTAGTGACATGTTAGTCCCATATGAACCAGCCCGGACTCTGAGGAGCACAGGGACTGGACTCCTGTTAGTGCCCAGAGTCAGAACTAAACATGGGGAGGCTGCTTTTCAGATTCATGCTGCTAAAATCTGGAACAATCTTCCTGAAGATGTGAGACAGGCCTCCTCAATGACAATGTTTAAAACCAGGTTAAAAACGGTTCTGTTTAGCTGTGCATACAACTGAGGGATTTTATATTTTTATCTTTCGTTTTAATGTTCTGTGATTATTTATGATTTTAATGCTTTCTTGTTCAGCACTTTGAGTTGCCTTGTGTATGAATTGTGCTATACAAATAAACTTGCCTTGCCTTGCCTTGCCATGTGTGATGGGGGTTGGAAACCTTTCTCTGTTATATTGATATATTTAAAACCGTGTTGTGCAGGTTCAAAATGAAAAACAATCTAATACAATCTAAATAACTTTTGAATAACAATATATATTCCTTGTATTTTGAGGCCTGGTTCATGTAAAAGTTCTTTGTGACTTGGTTTCTCAGTCACATTCACTCAGATAGCTATAGTTATAATTGTGATTATTTGTAACTGATGATGCAACACTGAAATGTCCCCACTGTGGGTCGAATAAAGGATCTGTCGGTCTTATACACAGAAGCTGGTGAGCTCGTGGTCTTACCGCGGCTCACATTTGGCGAACAGTCCCTTGTTGTCTTTGCCACAGTTGCCGTAGGGGTCTCCGGCAGAGTTCACCCTCTCGAAGCAGATCCCTGGAGCCGCTTTGGCCCCTGTCACAAACACATGCAGACTTTTACAAATCTGGACGTCATTATACCACAGAGAAACACCACTGTGGGGTCAGCATGCTACTACTGCTACTACTGCTACTGCTACTGCTACTACTGCTACTGTTACTACTACTGCTACTGCTACTGTTACTACTACTTCTACGACTGCTACTACTGCTAATGCTACTGCTACTACTGCTACTACTGCTACTGCTACTACTGCTACTACTGCTACTGCTACTGCTACTACTGCTACTGCTACTGCTACTGCTACTACTGCTACTACTGCTACTGCTACTGCTACTGTTACTACTACTGCTACTGCTACTTTTACTACTACTGCTACTACTACTACTACTGTCACTGCTACTGTTACTACTACTGCTACTACTGCTACTGCTACTACTACTACTGCTACTACTGCTAATGTTACTGTTACTGCTACTACTGCTACGGCTACTGCTGCTACTACTACTAATACTGCTACTATTATGCTACTGCTAATACTACTACTAATACTACTACTGCTGCTACTACTACTACTGCTACTACTACTACCACTACTACCTCTGATATTACTACTACTTTTACTACAACTACTACTACAACTACTTTTGCTATTACCACCACTACTTCTACTGCAATATTATTAATAGTACGAGTTACGCTTTTGCTACTCTTACTAGTCCTGCTACTATTGGTCTTGCTACTATACAAATCTTACTATTACTACTACTTGTGTTACTACTACTACTTCTACTACTACTACTTCTGCTACAACTAGTGCTGCTACTGTTTTTTAAGTTTATTCTGCTGCTGCTACTATAAATCTCACTATTACTACTTCTACTACTGCTACTAGAACTCCAGATACTTGTATTCTTCCCCATGAATCCACAGTCCTGACCTTGTCCCCACAGCGTGACACACTGCTGCTCGTGTGTTTGGCAGATGCCGTTATAGCAGTATCCGTCAACGCTGAGGCAGGCGTGGCCGTCGTGGAGGTACACGTTGGCGGGACAGTGGGGGCTCGTCCCGGTGCAGAATTCTGGAAGGTCACAGGAGTTTCCGGACTCGCGGCACGGCGTTCCGGCTCGCTTCAGCTGTGGTGACGGACACGAGGAGGTCAGATTAGGAGGGAGGGGAAGTCACAGTTTTACATTTTAGAGGTACGGGTGTTGTGAAAGAAACACTGCAGTATAAAGTCAATGTCAGTTACTTTTGTTGCAAACTTGAGAGTGAAGCAAGCATTCTCACCTTTACTGTTTCCTGATTGGTTGAAATCAAATCCGTGAGGCTCCTCTTTGTCTCTTTTCTTTTTGTCTCTCTCTCTTTGGTCTCTCTATGTAGTGTTTCTCTCAGGTCTGTCTCTGGTCTCTCCTTGGTATCTCTCTCTCTCTGGGCTCTGTGGTCTCTCTCTCTATTGTCTCTCTCTCTTGTCTCTCTCTCTTGTCTCTCTCTATGGTCTCTCTCTGGTCTCCCTCTGGTCTCTCTATAATCTCTCTATAATCTCTCTCTCTGATCTCACATAACCCCCATGATAAACCAAGGACCGTCATACCATGCCGTCATTGATCATTGGAAAATTTCATACAGTCCCATTATTAGTTGAACCACATAGATAGTCAATTGGATTCTTTTCTCATTTAAAACCATCCTCCATCCATTCAAGACATTTACATGAGATAGATGTGATATTGAGCCAGTGAAAGTAAATAAAATTTAATAAACGTTGTACCTGGCAATCGTGGCAGCACTGTCCATGGGCGCACACAGAATCCCCTTTAAGAGTGCAGGTGGTGGCGTTACAACACGGGTTCAAACACTCCTGGAACAGAGGAAACACCATATATGGACATGTCAGACACACCAGAAGGAAGGACACAAATCTTAATTATTATGAATTAGTTATGTGAGTTACAGAAGCAAATTGAGTTTTTAAGAATATTCTAATTTATGGCCAAACCACAGATGATCTAATACAAAATGGGCCCAATTGTGTTCTTTATCATCAATAAAGCACTTGATAAAAGTTCTAATCAAATTATTTCATGGGTTAGTAGTAGCCTGAAAATGGTTTTGCAGGGCTATATTTGCACATTAGCGTTAATGCTATCAAAAAAAGCTGCAATGACATCAGAGAGAGACAAGCGAGAGACCAGTGAGTCCACAGAGAGACCAGAGAGGGACCTGAGAGCGACCAGAAAGAGAGCAGAGAAAGACCAGAGAGGGACCAGAGAAAGACCAGAGAAAGACCAGAGAGGGACCAGAGAGAGACCAGAGCTAGACCAGCATGAGGCTATCTGTACTATATAGCCTTGTGTATGATCTCATATAAAGGCAGTTCCTCAGAGCACCCCTGGGTCCTCCTCGCTCACGGCTGTCCCTCCATTATCTGAGACCACACCGAAGATGGACAGAAGCCTGGAGCCATTAACAGGGCTTTTCCCAGGATCCCACGGGGCGCAGGAGGAGTGGAGGTAAAAGGCGTGACCGGTGATTAGGACAGAGAGCACTTTTAATGAGGACGGGCCGGTCTCTGTGACGGAGCTGGCAGCGTTTTGTGAAAGCCTTTGTAGTCGCTGCTGGCTCCGCTCATAACGGGGGATTATTTCAACATTATTTTTTGAAACGCTGGGATAGATTCAGGCGAAAACTTCAATTAAACTGCAAGAAAGATGGGAAGAATTTGCTGGAGTTCATTCTGGTCTTTCTCTGGTCCCTGGCTCTCCATCTCTGGTCATATCTAGTCTCTCTCTGGTTTATTTATTGTTTATTTGGTTGGGACAGTACATGTTAATGAACACATCACTCCGGATTGTCGGCATGGGCTAATTTGTATCCCTTGTTCCACATTCGCACTCACAAACACACACTCATTCATTCATTCACCCTGAGCTATTGCACATGTTTTTAGTGGTAGGGGAAACCGAAGTACCCGGAGGAAACCTACGCAGAAACTCCACTCAGAAAGGCCCTGTTCCAACCGGGATTTGAACCCAGAACCTTCTAGCTGAGAAGCGAGAGTGCTAACAACTCAGCCACTGTGCCGCCCTATTCTCTCTGGTCTCTCTGGTTTCTCTCTTGTCTCTCTCTCTCTCTCTCTGGTCTCAATCTCTGATCTCTCGCTTGTTTATCTGTGGTCTTAACTCTGGTCTCTCTACAGTCTCTATCTCTCATCTCTCTAGGGTCTCTCTCTCTGGTCTCTCTCTCTCTGGTCTCTTTCTGGTCTCTCTTGGGTCTGTTGTTAAATACACTATGGAGAACTGGGGGATGGAGACTTTCTGTTGTCATAATAATTTGAATATAATTTGCTTCAACATGCAAATAGCTCCTGATTGGCTCTTTGGTTGCTATGAGGTTGCTATGAGAAAATTTAGATCTTGATTCCTGCCTATAGAGATAGGATTCAGCTGTAATCGGACAAGAAAGGTCAAACAAATATAAATGACTCCACTCTCTTCTATGGCCTACTTTTTTGCATTTCATGAACAGGCAAAGTTGTCAGTGTTTCCGTAGCAACGCAATACATAACAATGACAAAAAGGCAGTGAAATATTTCAAGTAGCATTTTATCCCAAACTTTTTTTCTCAAGGATTTTATCTACGCTCTCAAAACTCATTATACACTCCTTGCCTGCAATGTTTTAATTGCAGCGGTGTCTCACAAACACAAACAAATAAATTCCCTGGTTGTTTTCTCACCTTGTTGCATAATTTACCCTCTCTTCTCTCGCAAATGTAGCGTTTCCATATTTTATAACTGCCGTGTGCCTCCGCTCCCACACATTCAACCGTTCCTGTGACTAACTCGGCTTTAAACTGTAAGCAACGAGGACAGATGAAGGTGGATTTGAATAATTCACTCGTCGGCGTCGGCATTTGTGAATGTGTTTGACAGAAGATACCTTTCGTAGAGGTGTAAGAGCTCTGGTGTCGATCTCTGGTCTCTGGTTCTATCTCCGATCTCTTTCTGGTCTCTATCTAGTATCTCTCCCTCTGGTCCATCTCTCTCTCTGGTCTCTCTCTGGTCCCTCTGTTCTCTCTCTGGTTTAACTCTCTGGTCTCTCTCTCTCTCGCTTATCACACTGGTCCCTCTCTGGACACTCTCTCTGATCTCTCTCTCTGGTCCCTCTTTATCATCGCTCAGGTCTCTCTGTTCTGTTTTATCTCTGTTCTCTCTCTCTTGTCTCTCTCTGGTCTTTCTGTTCTATCTCAGTTCTCTTTCTGGTCTCTCTCTCAAGTCTCTCGCTCATCCCTCTGTTCTCTCTAGTCTCTTTCTCTGGTTTCTCTCCGGCGTCTCTCTCTGGTCTCGCTCTGGTGTCTCTCTCTGGTCAATCTATCTGCTCTCTTTCTCTCGGTGTCTATCTCTGGTCTCTGTTCTACCTCCGATCTCTTTCTGGTCTCTATCTGGTGTTTCTCCCTCTGGTCCATCTCTAGTTTCTCTCTTGTCTGTCCCTCTCTTTTCAGTTCTCTCTCTAGTCCCTCTGTTCTCTCTCTGGACATTCTCTCTCTGGTCTCTCTGTTCTATCTCTCGTCTCTTGCTGGTCTCTCTCTTGTCTCTCTCTGGTCTTCCTGCTCTATCTCTGTTCTCTTTCTGGTCTCTCTCATCCCTCTGTTCTCTCTCTCTGGTCTCTCTAGTCTCTTGTTGGTCTTTCTCTGGTTTTTCTGGTGTCTCTCTCTCTCTGGTATCTCTCTCTGGTCAATCTATCTGCTCTCTTTCTCTCGGTATCTCTCTCCGGTCTCTCTCACTTTTGTCTATCTCTAGTCCCTCTCTGGTCTCTCTGTTCTATCTGTGTTCTCTTGCTGGTCCCTCTAAGGTCTCTCTGTTCTTTCTCTGCTCCCTTGCTGGTCCCTCTCTCTGGTCTGCATTATTCACGGCTTGTTTTGTGACAAGGGGGAAGGAAATAATGTCTCAGGATTATGGGAGCTGGGTGGTCTGAGCTTCCAGATGACAGAGAGAAGTATTTTATTTTGTATTTGCTTGTGCTACTGTCAGGGGATAAACTATGGCACAAATTCCCGTCCGTGCTTTCTCGGAAAATAAACAGTGAGAGAACGGGGAGCAAGCTGTGGTGGAAATGGTGAAATCAGAACTCAAGCGAAATTTATTATCGTCAAATTTATCTTTAAAGTGAGACTAAACACAAAACCGTTTCTTTGTTTTTGTGTTTTTGCAGCTGATTTATTGTGTTTTGTCAGCCTTGTCTGTGGCATTAAGGACATTTAAACTCTCTTTGGCCTCTCTGAACCCTAACTCTGGTCACTCTTTCTCTGATCTCCCTCTGGTCTCTCTCTAGTCTCTCTCTATCTTGTCTCTCTCTGGTCTCTGCTGTTCTATCACAGGACTTTTTCGTTGGTCTCTCTCTCTCTCTCTCTCTCTCTGGTCTCTCTGTCTTTTTTCTCTGCGGTCTCTCTTTGTTATCTCTCTGGTGACTCTCTTTGGTTTGTCACTGGCCTCTCTCTCTGGCGTCTGTCTCCGGTCTCCCTCTAGTCTCCCTCACACACCAGAGCTCTTGCCATGTCACTCTATCCCTCAATTTCAGATTCACAACTTCACATAACCAATTCCTGGATTATTTCTTTCCCAAACCAAATTTATTTTTCCCTCTTACACTGCATCTGCAACTCTGCCATTCTCACTATCTCCTCCCACCTTAGCCACACAGTGACATCACCCCGGGACCTGCCTCTCGCCCTGGTTAACCCCTGCATATTGCTTCCCACCTCGGTCCTCTAGAGGTAAATGTGTCGCAGATGAGTTCTTGAGTATCGTGCTCTGACCTCGGGCTCGCCGCAGTCGCACTCCTCGCCCTCCTCCACGTAGCCGTTGCCGCACTTCTGACCCCCGTAGAGGACCTTGATCTCGGGCATGTTGAACAGGCACATGCCCACGCCCTTCTCCAGGCTCGCCGACAGGTCTTTCTTACTGCAGCTGCTGAAGATGGTCGGGAATGGATACCTTGAACAGAGAGTGTATAAATATAGGGCATTTAGGTTTATCCACCTTCAATTATGGCGAGTTAGGTAAGACTTAGAAAACTAATTAAGATTAAGATTAAGATGTGCTTTATTTATCTCACAGAGGAGAAATTTACATGTCACATTTGGCATGGATAGAGACACTCAGATTGTGCAAAAGGAGGAAATGTGCAAACATGTTACATGCAGGATATATGTGCAATAAAGTGACAATAATTATGTGCAACAAAAGTAACAAGTGTCAATTGGAAACAGTGTCAATAGTAGTGCAGGGTTTCACACAGTGATCATTTAAAGTGACTTATTGTACAGTCTGACAGCGGTGGGGATAAAGGCCCTGCGGTAGCGCTCCTTCCTACACTGAGGGTGCCTCAGTCTTCCACTGAAGGAGCTCCTCAGCTCCTCTACAGTCCTGTGCAGTGGGTGGGAGGTATTGTTCATGATGGAGGTGACTTTGACTAGCACCCTCCTGTCCCTCACCTCCTCCACAGAGTCCAGGGAGCAGCCCAGAGTGGAGCTGGCCCTCCTGACCAGCTTGTTCAGTCTGTTTCTGTCCTGCTCTGTGCTGCCCGGGGCCCAGCACACGGCAGCGTAGTAAATGGCAGAAGCTACCACAGAGTCATAAAAAGTCCTGAGCAGAGGCCTGCTCACTCCGAAGGACCTCAGCCTCCTCAGAAGGAAGAGGCGACTTTGGCCCTTCTTGTGCAGGGCGTTTGTATTATGGGACCAGTCCAGTTTATTGTTAATGTGAACACCCAGGTACTTGAAGCTGTCCACCAGCTCAATGTCCTCCCCCTGGATGTTCAGCAGCGTGTGGGAAAGTGGTTTTCTCCTCAAGTCGATGATCATCTCCTTGGTCTTACTGGTGTTCAAGCACAAGTGGTTGCGCTCACACCAGTCGACAAAGTCCTTGATAACCGACCGATATTCCAGTTCGTTCCCCTCAGACACACAGCCCACGATGGCGGAGTCATCGGAGAACTTCTGCAGGTGACAGCTGTGTGTGTCGTGTGTGAAGTCTGAGGTGTAGATGGTGAAGAGAAACGGTGAGAGGACAGTGCCCTGAGGGGCCCCAGTGCTGCAGACTACCACCTCAGACTCACAGCTGCGCAGCCGCACGTACTGTGGTCGGTCTGAGAGGTAGTTGATGGTCCATGCAGTGAAGCTACTGTCCACTCCCGCGTCCTCCATCTTCCCCCGCAGCAGTGCCGGCCTGATGGTATTGAAAGCGCTGGAGAAGTAAAAAAACTTGAGTATTTGAGTAGGAAAACAGATTCTCATTAAGATTCTCATTAAGGAGACTGGAAACTTGTCCTCTCTTCTTCCTACTTTATCTCTTATCATTATGACTTGTAGCTGTAGATGTTCATTGCTATTCACCCACTGTCACTTTGTCTGTTTCCCCTTCTCTCTAGTTTCTCTGTTCTGTCTTTGTTCTCTCTCTGGTCTCTCTCTAGTCTCCTTCTTTCAGTTTCTATATTTGCTTTCTCTCTAGCCTCTTTCTAGTCTCTGTCTCGTCTCTCTCTCTCTGGTCTCCTGTTCTATTTTTTCTCTCTCTCTGGTCTCTCTCTCACAACTTGAAGAAACCCTCAGATCATCAGTCAAGCAGCAGGTGGAGACAATTTTCTGGGAGAAGTATGGTAACTTGAGCACCATCCTCTCCTCTTCCTTTGCTTTATCGCTCATCATTATTACTTCAGCTGTATTCTGTTCATTTCTATTCATCTGCTGTCCCTTTGTCTGTTTCATGGTGTGAAGATGGGACTCTCTCTCTCTGTGGTCTCTTTCTAGAATCTGTCTGGTCTCTCTCTCTCTTCAACTTTGTAGGAGTCCAGACAACTTGATTTAGGGCTGTACAAAAATGTATTGAATTGACGAAAGAGAATTGTACAAGCAAGTTTGAATTGCTTGTACAATTGAATTGCTGCTAATTAGACCCAATATTTAATACTACGACAATTAAAAGCCAAACATTTACAGTGTGGGGCTTTTTCTTACCCAAGAAAACATGATTCCAAATGAGATTTTTTGTGGTGCTGCTTCAAACAATGTAATATTAATGAAAAAAAGAAAAACAGATATTAGTTACCACAATATGAAGTCTTTTTTTTATCCACAAACAAAAAATAGTTTGAGTCTAAACTGTGACTTGGCCTCGCGCCTCCACGATCTAATCAAGCTAATTACCGCTAATCTCAAACTCAATTAAGCCCGAGAGCTCTCCACACTCGCTCTGTCATGCCACCGCCGAGACTCGCTTCTGATAACCAGCAGACGAACCCCGACCGAGACCCGAGATCTGCAGTTACCAGAAAGTGTTGTGTTTGTACAGTGAGTGGGAGCATGCTGAGAGAGAGGGCCACATGGGAGTTTTAATACACACTTATACTGGTTTTAATGAGAATGGTGTGATGACTATATTGGATTTTAGTACCATTTTCTTATACGTTTTTATGGTGTAAGTTTATTTCCCTTTCTTGTTTACTATATTGGGCTTTAGAATCCTACAGAGCTTGTGCTGGGGGGCTTTGGTGCTCCAGTGGGTTGGACGTCTTGCTTTTGTCGTCACCGTGCGTAGATAAGGGAAAAATTTCTGATTTCTGAAGCTTTGGGTGACTTTGGTCTGTAAAATGTGCTAGATAAATAAATATTACTTGCTTACTACTAACTGGATTCCCACGTACACTGGCGATTTCCTTCAGTGACAGTACAGCCCTCACTGCCTTCAGATGTTGATAGTAATACTTATGTACTTCTATAGCACTTCACAGGGAATTATTCATTAACCCCATAGAACACAGTGGTGGTAAACCGTCTGGATTTTGCATTGGAACGCTGCAAAACCTCTCTCTGTCTGAAAAAGCTGATAATAAAAACTGACCAAGAATACATGCAGGTAAAAACTTGTGATAAAAAAAAAAAAAAAAACGTTTTTACAGAGGAACTTGTTACATGTATTTTATCACATGTTTTTGTGATTTCCCAAAGGTTTTTTTGTTGTTGTTGTTCCTTGCTGATGCAGGAGAGTCCAAGGACAGTGGTGATAATGCAGGACATTTAAGGACATTTATGGACGTTTAAGGACATCTATTAACGTTCATGGACTTTTGGTCATCTGCTCCCGATGGTCCAAAGGCTTTATGTGTTTTTCCCTGTGTTCAAACTGTTTGATTCTCTGGTCTGTGTTGACAAATCTTCAACTTTGTAAAGTCCTCCAAGAGAATTACTTTGTCGTGATTTAGGGCCATACACATTTGAATTGATTGATTGAGACCAGAGAAAGAGAGAGAGGGAGCGAGACCAGAGAGAGACCAGAAAGAGATCAGAGAGAGAAGCCAGAGAGAGATTAGAGAGAGGGGGACCAGGGAGAGATCAGAGAGACCAGAGAGAGACTAAATAGAGAGACCAGAAAAAGAGACCAGAGGAAGAGACCTGAGAGAGACTAGAAAGAGAGATAAGCCGTAACAGAACATGTTTTTTTCAATGCAGTAGCAATTTTTCCTTGCATTTAAGTGTAATTTCTTGTCCCTTGTCATTTAACACCTTTTTCCCAGGACAAATACCTAAGAACAGCCATATCAGTAAAGCATATTTTCAATCATGTTCTGCCGTGCAATGTGCCTTTGCTGGTCCTGTATTTGAACCGAGCTGAAACGCAGCCTCAGCTCTTCACATACACCACACTATAACACCAAATGTTGTGACCTCATTTTCCCCAGTCACTTTGATTTCCCTTCTACCAGCCCCCCCTCTGCACTTATGCGAACTCACGGAGTGGATCTGTAATGAAATAAAACCCCCATAAAGAAAAAGTATCGGAGAAAGTCGTAGTAACAGCTATAATTGCTCGCTTGCCTTGCGCTGCCTCTGAGGGAAAAACACCAGGAGAATAGCTGTCAAAATGCCTGGTTAAAGAAACATACTTTATATATACCACTGTTTTCTTATTACTCAGCTGAAAAACAACATTTTGCACATTTTTTGGTTCTAGTCACTCGTTCTCGTCGTTTCGTTCAATCCGAGAGTGACAAGTGTAGAACAGTTTTGACGTATTATGTTCCATTTCTTATAATAGGATTTGCTTTCTATACTTGCAAGTGAGCGTAACCCAGGACCAGAGGGAATCACAATTTGATGTTGTACTTGTTTGTGAATGCCAGATCCTGTCAGAGCTCTCAAGCAAAGCAGGGCATGGCCTGGTTAGTGCTGTGATGGGAGACCTTTGGGAACACCCGGTGCCACGGTGATGAACCTGTATCTGCTGTTTTTGTAGAGAGACAGACCAGAGAGAAAGACCTGAGACTATTTACTTGATTTCATGCCTGAATCAATCTAAAGTCAGAAGTGGATGTGTAAATGGCAATGAAATACCAATACATCATATCAAAGGTTGTGATGAACCAATTTTGCATCTACAAAATCGCATTTTTAATAGCAAATTTGGCGATTATGTCAAAGAAACTAAAACTCCACGCTGTGTTTTGACATCACTACCATGCCGAATGATGTATCCATCCCCCTAAATAAGAACTCTTCCGTTTCCAGCTGTTTTTTATGAGTTCCGGCACATAGCTATTAGGGCATGCCGTGTGGAGGGGCCAGAGGAGGAGGGGGGTTGTGGTGGGGTGAAGATGCCGCACAGAGAATGGCTTTTTTTGCGCAGCTGAAAACCCTGGGGGGAGACTGAAGCTGTGCCAGGTCTGCTCTGGCTTTGCCTACATCTGGCTTTGATCGGGACGTCCCATTCAGACACAAGTGCTGATCTCACCCCCCACACCACAACACACAAGTCCTGGGTTGACTTTTTGACCCGCGGGTTCAGGCTCACTGGCTGGTTTAATGCAGTGTTGGGAACAAAATACCCAGACAGACTGGAAAAATAGACAAAAAACACTGCTTTTGGAATAAATGGTGTGGTTGATTTTGATGAATGGAGGCGCTGAAAATGCAGTGGTGTGTTCCAAAATACATGCCTTAAATAAATCCAATCAATGTATATACTAATCAGCCTCAGTCCTCGTTCTACAGCCTGAGTCCTGGATCTATAGCCTGTCTGTCTGTGGGAACGGATCTCTCTCTCAATGTGGGACTCCCCAAGGTTTTTCATTTTGATTCATTATTTCACTATGGTCCCAAAATGGTCAATCCAACAAGGAATGAACATCTTAAATAATATGGTGCTATTTAAATAAAGATTACTTACTTACTTAAAGCTAAACACAACTGTTTTTAACCTGGATTTGAACATTGTCAGAGTAGAAGCGTGTCTCAAATTTTCAGGAAGACTGTCCCGGAGTTTAGCTGCATGAATCTGAAACGCTTTCTCCCCATGTTTAGTCCTGACTCTGGGCACCAGCAGGAGTCCAGTCCCTGTGCTCCTCAGAGTCCCAGTTAGTTCAAATGCCACTAACATGTCACAGATGTACGGAGAGATTTGGACAACTTTTCCTTTTTATCTAGATTAATAAATTCTCTATTCACCGGAGCCCCCTGAACTCTAACCAGATCATTTGCCTCTCATCGATTCCTTTTGACCAGTACGTGTCAAAAAAAGGCTCCATTTAACACATCTGAAGTTGGACAGTTAACAGCTAATATATAATTCATATTTAGATGTGTTTTATCTATTGTTTTTTCCCACCTGCCTGATGCCTGTCAGCGCAGCTGGCCCACGAGGAGTTCAAAGACTGCAGGGTTTCCGAGCGCTGTCACTGAGGTAGTTCAGATCACAGGGCACACTAATGGACCTGGGACCCATCAGCCGGCCTCCAACAACCAACAATAAATCAACGCTTAAGTTAACTTTCCACCATGTGTTTTAATGTAGGCAGCTCCGGGAAACTGTTGATTGGTTGATGTGGTGGAAGGAAATGCTGGGTATGAGAAATAGTTTAAGTATAGTGTGTTTTTGCCTGCTAAATTGTGATTCTACTGACCAATGTCCATAAATGTTAATAAATTGTTTAGAAACCTGTATGTATTTGTTTGTATGAATGGATGTTTTTTCTGCTCCTGAATTTATCCTATTGGGGATTAATAAAGTATCTATATATTTAAATGTCCTTAAATGTCTTGGATCATCACTGACCTTAGAGCTTAGACCCTCCTGCATTTGCAAGAAGTGAGTGAAATACCTGGGGAGGCCCATGTGAAGAGAGAGACTATAGATCCAGGACTCAGGCTGTAGAACGAGGACTGAGGCTATAGATCCAGGACTCAGGCTGTAGAATG